ACATGGACACTGAGATGCTGCCACACCACCCGAAGCGGCAGTCCGGGCTTGGGTCCAAGAGCTTCAAAAAAGAGTTTGCCCAAACAGCCTTTGCCCCATCAAGCTGTCCCAGAGGATTTATTGCGCTCCCCCTTTCTTCAGCGTAAATGGCAGCTTGCAGCTGGCGGGTTCAGGGATCAATGATCTTCTGCGCCACGCGGCTGACTCGGAGCCGGATTCGGGCTGTCATTAAGCAGACTAGTCCATGTACAGGAGTCCATGAGAATGCAGGATAAGCAGCACAGTAGCTCCGAAATCTTGCCCGAACGATCTTCTGCAGAACTGGCAGGGGGCAGAACCACCCTCATGGCAAAAAGATATAGAAAGGACCACACATGCTTCAATGCAGGATTGAGGCTTCGCTGAATAGTGATGCCGCGCTTGTTCGAGTCTCGCTCGTGGAAATGTGCCACAGGTTTCGGTAACCTCCCAGCAGTCTTGTTGCCTGCAATGTGCACCCAGTCACCCAACTGCCAACGCGCGTGTGCGCTCTTTGTCGCAGACAGCAGTGCAGGAAGCATGGAAGGAAAAGCAAAGCCGGCAGTTGCAATCGGAGGCTACCTGCGATTCAAGGCAACGGGTTTCTGAAGAGAGCAAGCACTATAAAACCCCAGGATGAGATAGGATGAGGAGTACGGGAAAAGGCGGCGATGTGCACACGAGGCAAGACAGATCAAAAAGGCTCGAGACTCAGATCACGGCGGGCATGGCGGGCGCGAACGCGCTTCCTTCGGAGGCGTGCGGCTAACCTTGGCCATTTGCGACTGCAAGCTCGGCTCTGCCACCGGCGGCTTTACACTTATAAGTCGAGGCTGCGGCAGAACGAGCGGCAGCGCCATGGGCTCGTGGCGGGGTTTCAAACTGATCGCAGACTAACTTGGCACAATCGACTGATGTGTTGTCCAAAGTCCTGCTACAAGTATCCAGAAGTCTTGCCCTGCAGTCTTGCAGCCCCTGCCTGTCGCGTCACTGACACCACCCTTTTGGGCAGCGTCGTGTAAATGATTTTACCCGGCCTTGGCCCAGCAAACTCCGCATCCACGCAGCCAAGGCGACTTTCACACTCAGATTGCGGCACATGAACAGGCTGACCTCAACGCCGCTTTGGAGCACAACGTGACTCAACACATCCTTCGCCACTGTTTGTGGGCGCCCAGCAAATGTGTCGCGATACCTCGGGCAGTTCAGTGCATGCTCACGGCACGCCGTCCCAAGAGAATCCGCTTCGAGGCTACTAGTAACGAAGATGTAGCCGAGTCGCCACGGTCGCGCCGGCTGAAGCCGCTCTGGGCGACGGGACGCGGCAGGCCATCATCGAGTCGGATCGCGAAGCCGCTGCAAAGCTGATCAAACAGAAAGCCGCAGCTGCTGCGACACTTTGAGCCAATCACCAAGCCATGACACTCTACGGAGCGACTGCGGAGCGGCCACTGGCAGGATAACAACGACTGCAGAGCCCAGCTGCGCAGCCGGGGTCTGGACGGCTTCCGTCGTCTTTCTCAAACACAACACCTTGCCTGCAGCATACAACTGTAGTCGACATGGGCTGAAACAGTCGCAGACGCAGTGTTGAGGTTGAGGAGTCGGCTCAGGAATCGACGTTGGCTGTCGCCATGCTTTGAAGCCTTGCGCGGAGCTGCCGATCGCAAAAGATCATGCCACACCATGCCCCTGTTTTTGGGGGTGCGCTGCCAGAAACGTTCATCGAAAAAGCATGCCAGTCTGTATAGTGCTTGCACAGCTTCAAAAAGCACTCCGAAAACATTGGACTCTAGGGAGGCTCTCCGCATGGCTCCCGGCACTTTTCGGTATGGTCGTGACACTGGGGGTGGGCGCTTGGCTGGGTGCTGGAATCAACCATGTCAAAACCTGTGCTGTATCGGCCCCTAGCCAACTCCAACTCCTCCATCAATACAAGGTGCGAGAGTGAGTTCAAGTTACACCTGGAAACAGTTCAATTCAGATTTTCCTGTGCGAGATGATGTGCAAGATGTCTTCACGACCCGTTTAACGGTGCATTAGGAGCGTTCTGTTTTCTCTAGTGACTCTTGTGACTGCCCTGGAGGAGGCTCGGGTTCGGAGCTTCGAGCAACAAGGTGCTGTGACCTAACCTTGCCCTTGAGGGTCCTCCCAATACTGGAGATTCACTCACATGTCCGCGTCTTTCCATTTGCAGAATTCTTCAGAACTCGACTTCGCCCTATAGGTCGCAAGGTCAGCGCGCTGGCCGAGCGCCGCGCTTTTTACAACGCTTCACTTCTGGGGTCCCGGCGCTAAGGCACCAGCGGCCACATCCCTGGCTTCAGGCGAGCGGAGGAGTGATCAGTGTGACCTCAGGAGGTCGAGACCGGAGCGTCGAGGCTTCGCAGCTCGCAAGTTCGCACGGTCTGCCACAGCCGTGAGACCTTCTTCGCGTCAGGAAGTTAAGCACTTCAAGCCGCAGGATAGAGAATCGATCGTGAGCCGACAAGAAGGCATGGATAAAGGGATCCCAACCGGGCCACCGTCGAAATCTTCTTGCATTTCTGAGGTCCAGAAGACCTGTGCAGATTTGTCCGAGGCAGAGCGTCGACGAGACGACCAGCCCACGCACTTCTCTTGCGCCTGCGAGCCGTTCAACACGATCTGCACCGGAGTCGAGGGCAAGGCGGCGGGTACGAGCCTCAGCAGATCAAACGCGCGCACCCTTGACAGAAGCACTGGCAGACTCCACGCCCATAAAACCACAGGAAGAGCATTGCCTGGGATATGATATCATGGATCCGCCGTGCGGGTTGCTACTCGAATAAGAGTGCTGGCATGTCCAAGTCACGACCTGCTGGCAGCAAGCAGCGCTTCTTTTTCACGAAAATTGCGAACGGAACGGAATCCGGCGGGCCATCACTTCGCCTGCTTCTTCGCTTCCTTGGCGGAGGCTATCAGGTTCCTGGCCTCCTTGTAAGAGATCGCCTGGAGGTCACAGGTGCTTCGCAGCCACTTGCAACCCAGAACTTGCGACATCCTACGACTCCCCACCTGTCCATGGCTGTTCTTCACCCAATTCCGCAGCTGCTCCTCGGGATTCAGCAAGGTGCAGCACCGCTTCGGCTCCGGGTCGTGCTGGATCAGGATCGTGACTCACATGAGCATGAAGAAGCGTGATCATGCGAATCATGGCGGCTGCCCAGTGGCCGGCGTGGGAGTTTGCCCGAAATGAGCCGCGTACGCTGCCACCATGTCCTGTGCAGTGCCAAACACGCACGACGCCCTCACTGCGCCGCCAGCCGCGAAGTCCCCCAAACCCCGACGCTTCCTCGTTCTTGAGGATGATGCGGCCGTCTGCAGCTCGGGGAAGAAGTGCCTCGCCATTCCGGATCACTAGAATGACTGTGTCTGCGTCCTCATAGAGCAAAGCTACATGAGCCTCGAGGAGACTGCTGCGACCAATCCGGAAGGAAGCTCAAATTCAAAGGCGTCGAAAGGAGTGATAAGGAACCCAGCTCCAAGCAAAAAGCGAGGACCAAAGAAGACCCTCAGGCTAACCACAGGATGCACCACCGCTCAACCCTAAAAGCACAGACAACATCACCATTTCCTGGAATCCCGCCTCTCCATAGAGATACAGCCAGCCAGGCCCACTTGCACGATGTGGTCGCGGTAGCTCTGAGAGGGTTGTGGCAAGTTTTCGCAGAACTCGGAGACTTGAAGCTTGGGCATTAGCATGTTAGCATGCATCAGCCTCCAAACCCGCAAAGCCCCAGGTCAAATCCAACATCCTTGACTCCCGACTCCCCCAAAACCACGTGGGGATTCCGTTCTGCAACAAGCTTGGGCCTCCTTGTCACAAGAAGCCCCGTTTTCGCTCTGCAGTCCCGGCCTTCTTGCTGCTCCTGCTCTCCCGAGTCCTGTGGCCACACGTGGCACCACTGGAGAACGGACGGAAGACGCGATAAAGATCCCACCTCAAGAATCGCCTCGGTGCTGGCTTGCCCTGAAGTTCACAGCTTCGCACCGCTTCGCGTGCACTGCGCGAGTCGCGAGTCGAGCCTGGGTCCTCATTCTCCTGATTCTCCAGCTCCTCCCCTTCCGTCAGGAAGCCAAGGTGCCTGTGCTCAGCGGGGCTCGGAAGCTTCTGCCACGGATGCCCGATGGCCTCTGCGCGGCTGCGAGCTCCGCCTGCATGGCCAGCCGCTGGCCGGTTGCGCGTGCAACTACGAAGCAAGGCGGCGCAGGCTCCTTGTAGCCGTTCTTCTCCTTGAGCGCATCCAGCGCAATCCTGCGGCAATTACTGTTCTCGTCCTTCAGCATCAACTTGTCGCCTGCCTCAGGGTGTCACGAGCCAACGTAGCCACTTGCCCCGTCTTCGCATGCATCAACAAAGCCTGTCCGAAACCTAACTTTCCGGTTGCCAGCCGAGCATCCGCAAGCTGCAGCTGAAACTCCTGCTTCTCCACTGTCCTGGTCTCAGGCACGTCTATATCGTCTATATATTCCCTAATCAGAATGCTCCCTCCAAGTGGCGCCTTTTGATGAAGTCTACAAGTGCAGCTGATGGTAATGCAACGGAACCGGGCCAAGGTGCTCGCGCAGGTTCTTATCTTCCGATTCCGTCTGGACGGCGGCCTACAGCCGTCGAGATGGAGAGAGGGGAATGGCGCGGCAATCCCGAAAACGAACGGGTTGCACAAGACTACACTGGGCGACGCCAGGCGAAACTGACAAATAAAAGCGTTCAACACTTGGGAAGTGAAGCGCAACGCTAGCTCCAGTCGCAACAGCTGAGACAGCACAAGACTACACTGGGCGATACCAGGCGAAACTGACAAATAAAGACGTTCAACACTTGGGCAGTGAAGCGCAATGCTTGCTCCAGTCGCAACAGCTGAGACAGCAGCTGAAACTGTTGAGCTCCGGCAGGTGGGCCGTTCCTGCAGGTGCGTGGGGCTGGCCAAGCCGTCTTCAACAGCAACACCGGCTGCTTCTTATATGAAATCATAAGCTGAAGCTGAGGCATCGGCGAGGAGCTGTGCCAGCTGGGCATCGATATTCTCGATGCGCTGAGAAGCCACGATATTCGCGGCCTTGTCCGCATCTTCTGGGCTTTGCTTCGCGCGGCTCGCGACACAAAGCAAGATCACGTCCGGCGCGGCCTGCAACTGCTCACATCGAGCTTCCCAGGCTTCCTGAAAACATCGCGGGCGAATGCCGGAAGTTCATGCGCAGCACCGGCAAAATCCGGCTGCAGATGTTCAGCTTCTTTCCGGCTCCTCACATGTAGAAGCAGTGTTTGCCTCCACCGTGGTCGCCATGGCCTGGCGAAGGCATCGTGTGGCTTATCCCCAGCCAAAGTGACGGGTGCACGTCTCTGCTCAAAACATCGCGGCCTCGATCCGGCAACTTAACTCATCAACCTTCCGTGTAAGCTGGCTGGAAGCTGACGAAGGGCCCACTGCGATGCGATGTTTTTCCACTTGGCCTTCGCGAGCCGCTTCTCGAAGTCCTCCGAGCAAGTTCGACTCTCAGGCTACGAAGCTTTATCAGTCGAACTTGATCGTTGACTTGTCATCGGCCTCCAGCCTCTTCATCAAGCCTTCCAATACGCTGAGGACCGGCTGTACGGGTATCATGCCTGAAGCAGGAAGCATCAGGAAGCATAGAGGAATCAGAGCGCCCTCAGCCGGCTGCTGGCATCGGTGGCGGTGCTCGAGCTGGAGCCTTCCTGCGACGGAGCGAACGGCTGAGCTCAGGTTCTCACCTAGGCTTCCGCTGCCCCTCCAGCGATTCAGATTCACCCGCAGCACCGGCAGAATCCGGTTCAAGATTTTCAGTTTCCATCCGGCCGCTCCTCACGTGTAGAAGCAATGTTTGCCTCCACCGTGTTCGCCATGGCCTGGCGAAGGCATCGTGCAGCCTATCCGCAAGCATCCGCAGCTCAAGTAACGGGCGCGCGTCTCTGCTCAAAACATCGCGGCCTCGATCCGGCAACTTAACTCATCAACCTTCCGTGTAAGCTAGCTGGAAGCTGACGAAGGGCCCACTGCGATGCGAACTTTCCTCCACCTGGCCTTCGCAAACCGCTTCTCGAAATCCTCCGAGCGAGTTCCACTCTCAGGCTAGGAAGCTTTCTCGAACTTGATCGTTGACTTGTCATCGGCCGCCTCCATCCTCTTTGACAAGCCTTCCAGCATAGTGAGGACAGGGTGTAAGATGCCTGAAGCAGGAAGCATCAGCAATGCAAAATAGTGCAAAGGAATCAGAGTGCGCTTAGCCGGCTGCTGGGATCGGTGGTGGTGCTCGAGCTGGAGCCTTCCTGCGACGGAGCGAACGGCTAGGCTCTCACCTAGGCTTCCGCTGCCCATCCAACGATTCAAGTTCACGCGCAGCACCGGCAGAATCCGGCTCAAGATTTTCAGTTTGCATCCGGCGGCTCCTCACGTGTAGAAGCAATGTTTGCCTCCACCGTGTTCGCCATGGCCTGGCGAAGGCATCGTGCAGCCCATCCGCAAGCATCCGCAGCCCAAGTAACGGGCGCGCGTCTATGCTCAAAACATCGCGGCCTCGATCCGGCAGGTCAACTCATCAACCTTCCGTGTAAGCTAGCTGGAAGCTGACGAAGGGCCCACTGCAATGCGAACTTTCCTCCACCTGGCCTTCGCGAGCTGTCGCTCGAAATCCTCCGAGCGAGTTCGACTCTCAGGCTAGGAAGCTTTCTCGAACTTGATCGTTGACTTGTCATCGGCCGCCTCCATCCTCTGTGCCATGCCTTCCTGCACACTGTTGATAGGCTGTAAACTGCCTGAAGCAGGAAGCATCGAGAGAAGCGCAAGGGAATGAGAGCATGCTCAGCCGGCTGCTGGCATCCATGTTGGAGCTCGGGCTCGGGGCTTCAAATTCCTGCAACGGAGCGAACAGCTGAGCGCAGGCTCTCAGCTGCGCCGCACATCGACCCTCAGGCCTCCTTAGGCTTTCGCTGCCGCTCCAGCGATTCCTCGACGGTTCGGGCCCCGCAGCCCGCTCTCTCGGACTCTCTCGTATCATGATTCTCTTGCGAACAGAGAGCTCCAAGCATTAACACGCCGAGGAGCCAATCCGGACCTCCGCCCACCGCTACGCCGGGCCTTGGGGGATCGAGTTCACCCGCCCCGACCACCTCATGGCCATCTGACTAGCCGGAGACTGGGGTTGCGGCGCGGGACTCGCGGGATTCGCGGGATTCGCGGGGCTGGCGGCACTCAGAGCCCTGACAGGCTGTGCCATTGCTGCGCAGCTTGGCCGAGCTCGAACTGCAAATCACTGCCCATGACCACAGCGCGGCGGGGCCTCTTCTTTGAAAGGGCTTGCCTGCACGGGGACACACGCACCGCCGCGCTCAAGCCTGCAACCAGGTCTGGCCTCCCGGCCAAGCAAGATCGGCAGAGGCCTCAGCCACACTGAGAAGGCCATCAACATGGACACTGAGATGCTGCCACACCACCCGAAGCGGCAGTCCGGGCTTGGGTCCAAGAGCTTCAAAAAAGAGTTTGCCCAAACAGCCTTTGCCCCATCAAGCTGTCCCAGAGGATTTATTGCGCTCCCCCTTTCTTCAGCGTAAATGGCAGCTTGCAGCTGGCGGGTTCAGGGATCAATGATCTTCTGCGCCACGCGGCTGACTCGGAGCCGGATTCGGGCTGTCATTAAGCAGACTAGTCCATGTACAGGAGTCCATGAGAATGCAGGATAAGCAGCACAGTAGCTCCGAAATCTTGCCCGAACGATCTTCTGCAGAACTGGCAGGGGGCAGAACCACCCTCATGGCAAAAAGATATAGAAAGGACCACACATGCTTCAATGCAGGATTGAGGCTTCGCTGAATAGTGATGCCGCGCTTGTTCGAGTCTCGCTCGTGGAAATGTGCCACAGGTTTCGGTAACCTCCCAGCAGTCTTGTTGCCTGCAATGTGCACCCAGTCACCCAACTGCCAACGCGCGTGTGCGCTCTTTGTCGCAAACAGCAGTGCAGGAAGCATGGAAGGAAAAGCAAAGCCGGCAGTTGCAATCGGAGTCTACCTGCGATTCAAGGCAACGGGTTTCTGAAGAGAGCAAGCACTATAAAACCCCAGGATGAGATAGGATGAGGAGTACGGGAAAAGGCGGCGATGTGCACACGAGGCAAGACAGATCAAAAAGGCTCGAGACTCAGGTCACGGCGGGCATGGCGGGCGCGAACGCGCTTCCTTCGGAGGCGTGCGGCTAACCTTGGCCATTTGCGACTGCAAGCTCGGCTCTGCCACCGGCGGCTTTACACTTATAAGTCGAGGCTGCGGCAGAACGAGCGGCAGCGCCATGGGCTCGTGGCGGGGTTTCAAACTGATCGCAGACTAACTTGGCACAATCGACTAATGTGTTGTCCAAAGTCCTGCTACAAGTATCCAGAAGTCTTGCCCTGCAGTCTTGCAGCCCCTGCCTGTCGCGTCACTGACACCACCCTTTTGGGCAGCGTCGTGTAAATGATTTTACCCGGCCTTGGCCCAGCAAACTCCGCATCCACGCAGCCAAGGCGACTTTCACACTCAGATTGCGGCACATGAACAGGCTGACCTCAACGCCGCTTTGGAGCACAACGTGACTCAACACATCCTTCGCCACTGTTTGTGGGCGCCCAGCAAATGTGTCGCGATACCTCGGGCAGTTCAGTGCATGCTCACGGCACGCCGTCCCAAGAGAATCCGCTTCGAGGCTACTAGTAACGAAGATGTAGCCGAGTCGCCACGGTCGCGCCGGCTGAAGCCGCTCTGGGCGACGGGACGCGGCAGGCCATCATCGAGTCGGATCGCGAAGCCGCTGCAAAGCTGATCAAACAGAAAGCCGCAGCTGCTGCGACACTTTGAGCCAATCACCAAGCCATGACACTCTACGGAGCGACTGCGGAGCGGCCACTGGCAGGATAGCAACGACTGCAGAGCCCAGCTGCGCAGCCGGGGTCTGGACGGCTTCCGTCGTCTTTCTCAAACACAACACCTTGCCTGCAGCATACAACTGTAGTCGACATGGGCTGAAACAGTCGCAGACGCAGTGTTGAGGTTGAGGAGTCGGCTCAGGAATCGACGTTGGCTGTCGCCATGCTTTGAAGCCTTACGCGGAGCTGCCGATCGCAAAAGATCATGCCACACCATGCCCCTGTTTTTGGGGGTGCGCTGCCAGAAACGTTCATCGAAAAAGCATGCCAGTCTGTATAGTGCTTGCACAGCTTCAAAAAGCACTCCGAAAACATTGGACTCTAGGGAGGCTCTCCGCATGGCTCCCGGCACTTTTCGGTATGGTCGTGACACTGGGGGTGGGCGCTTGGCTGGGTGCTGGAATCAACCATGTCAAAACCTGTGCTGTATCGGCCCCTAGCCAACTCCAACTCCTCCATCAATACAAGGTGCGAGAGTGAGTTCAAGTTACACCTGGAAACAGTTCAATTCAGATTTTCCTGTGCGAGATGATGTGCAAGATGTCTTCACGACCCGTTTAACGGTGCATTAGGAGCGTTCTGTTTTCTCTAGTGACTCTTGTGACTGCCCTGGAGGAGGCTCGGGTTCGGAGCTTCGAGCAACAAGGTGCTGTGACCTAACCTTGCCCTTGAGGGTCCTCCCAATACTGGAGATTCACTCACATGTCCGCGTCTTTCCATTTGCAGAATTCTTCAGAACTCGACTTCGCCCTATAGGTCGCAAGGTCAGCGCGCTGGCCGAGCGCCGCGCTTTTTACAACGCTTCACTTCTGGGGTCCCGGCGCTAAGGCACCAGCGGCCACATCCCTGGCTTCAGGCGAGCGGAGGAGTGATCAGTGTGACCTCAGGAGGTCGAGACCGGAGCGTCGAGGCTTCGCAGCTCGCAAGTTCGCACGGTCTGCCACAGCCGTGAGACCTTCTTCGCGTCAGGAAGTTAAGCACTTCAAGCCGCAGGATAGAGAATCGATCGTGAGCCGACAAGAAGGCATGGATAAAGGGATCCCAACCGGGCCACCGTCGAAATCTTCTTGCATTTCTGAGGTCCAGAAGACCTGTGCAGATTTGTCCGAGGCAGAGCGTCGACGAGACGACCAGCCCACGCACTTCTCTTGCGCCTGCGAGCCGTTCAACACGATCTGCACCGGAGTCGAGGGCAAGGCGGCGGGTACGAGCCTCAGCAGATCAAACGCGCGCACCCTTGACAGAAGCACTGGCAGACTCCACGCCCATAAAACCACAGGAAGAGCATTGCCTGGGATATGATATCATGGATCCGCCGTGCGGGTTGCTACTCGAATAAGAGTGCTGGCATGTCCAAGTCACGACCTGCTGGCAGCAAGCAGCGCTTCTTTTTCACGAAAATTGCGAACGGAACGGAATCCGGCGGGCCATCACTTCGCCTGCTTCTTCGCTTCCTTGGCGGAGGCTATCAGGTTCCTGGCCTCCTTGTAAGAGATCGCCTGGAGGTCACAGGTGCTTCGCAGCCGCTTTCAACCTGCGACTCCCCACCTGTCCATGGCTGTTCTTCACCCAATTCCGCAGCTGCTCCTCGGGATTCAGCAAGGTGCAGCACCGCTTCGGCTGCGGGTCGTGCTGGATCAGGATCGTGACTCACATGAGCATGAAGAAGCGTGATCATGCGATTCATGGCGGCTGCCCAGTGGCCGGCGTGGGAGTTTGCCCGAAATGAGCCGCGTACGCTGCCACCATGTCCTGTGCAGTGCCAAACACGCACGACGCCCTCACTGCGCCGCCAGCCGCGAAGTCCCCCAAACCCCGACGCTTCCTCGTTCTTGAGGATGATGCGGCCGTCTGCAGCTCGGGGAAGAAGTGCCTCGCCATTCCGGATCACTAGAATGACTGTGTCTGCGTCCTCATAGAGCAAAGCTACATGAGCCTCGAGGAGACTGCTGCGACCAATCCGGAAGGAAGCTCAAATTCAAAGGCGTCGAAAGGAGTGATAAGGAACCCAGCTCCAAGCAAAAAGCGAGGACCAAAGAAGACCCTCAGGCTAACCACAGGATGCACCACCGCTCAACCCTAAAAGCACAGACAACATCACCATTTCCTGGAATCCCGCCTCTCCATAGAGATACAGCCAGCCAGGCCCACTTGCACGATGTGGTCGCGGTAGCTCTGAGAGGGTTGTGGCAAGTTTTCGCAGAACTCGGAGACTTGAAGCTTGGGCATTAGCATGTTAGCATGCATCAGCCTCCAAACCCGCAAAGCCCCAGGTCAAATCCAACATCCTTGACTCCCGACTCCCCCAAAACCACGTGGGGATTCCGTTCTGCAACAAGCTTGGGCCTCCTGGTCACAAGAAGCCCCGTTTTCGCTCTGCAGTCCCGGCCTTCTTGCTGCTCCTGCTCTCCCGAGTCCTGTGGCCACACGTGGCACCACTGGAGAACGGACGGAAGACGCGATAAAGATCCCACCTCAAGAATCGCCTCGGTGCTGGCTTGCCCTGAAGTTCACAGCTTCGCACCGCTTCGCGTGCACTGCGCGAGTCGCGAGTCGAGCCTGGGTCCTCATTCTCCTGATTCTCCAGCTCCTCCCCTTCCGTCAGGAAGCCAAGGTGCCTGTGCTCAGCGGGGCTCGGAAGCTTCTGCCACGGATGCCCGATGGCCTCTGCGCGGCTGCGAGCTCCGCCTGCATGGCCAGCCGCTGGCCGGTTGCGCGTGCAACTACGAAGCAAGGCGGCGCAGGCTCCTTGTAGCCGTTCTTCTCCTTGAGCGCATCCAGCGCAATCCTGCGGCAATTACTGTTCTCGTCCTTCAGCATCAACTTGTCGCCTGCCTCAGGGTGTCACGAGCCAACGTAGCCACTTGCCCCGTCTTCGCATGCATCAACAAAGCCTGTCCGAAACCTAACTTTCCGGTTGCCAGCCGAGCATCCGCAAGCTGCAGCTGAAACTCCTGCTTCTCCACTGTCCTGGTCTCAGGCACGTCTATATCGTCTATATATTCCCTAATCAGAATGCTCCCTCCAAGTGGCGCCTTTTGATGAAGTCTACAAGTGCAGCTGATGGTAATGCAACGGAACCGGGCCAAGGTGCTCGCGCAGGTTCTTATCTTCCGATTCCGTCTGGACGGCGGCCTACAGCCGTCGAGATGGAGAGAGGGGAATGGCGCGGCAATCCCGAAAACGAACGGGTTGCACAAGACTACACTGGGCGACGCCAGGCGAAACTGACAAATAAAAGCGTTCAACACTTGGGAAGTGAAGCGCAACGCTAGCTCCAGTCGCAACAGCTGAGACAGCACAAGACTACACTGGGCGATACCAGGCGAAACTGACAAATAAAGACGTTCAACACTTGGGCAGTGAAGCGCAATGCTTGCTCCAGTCGCAACAGCTGAGACAGCAGCTGAAACTGTTGAGCTCCGGCAGGTGGGCCGTTCCTGCAGGTGCGTGGGGCTGGCCAAGCCGTCTTCAACAGCAACACCGGCTGCTTCTTATATGAGATCATAAGCTGAAGCTGAGGCATCGGCGAGGAGCTGTGCCAGCTGGGCATCGATAGTCTCGATGCGCTGAGAAGCCACGATATTCGCGGCCTTGTCCGCATCTTCTGGGCTTTGCTTCTCGCGACACAAAGCAAGATGAGGTCCGGCGCGGCCTGCAACTGCTCCCATCGAGCTTCCCAGGCTTCCTGAAAACATCGCGGGCGAATGCCGGAAGTTCATGCGCAGCACCGGCAAAATCCGGCTGCAGATGTTCAGTTTCTTTCCGGCTCCTCACATGTAGAAGCAGTGTTTGCCTCCACCGTGGTCGCCATGGCCTGGCGAAGGCATCGTGTGGCTTATCCCCAGCCAAAGTGACGGGTGCATGTCTCTGCTCAAAACATCGCGGCCTCGATCCGGCAACTTAACTCATCAACCTTCCGTGTAAGCTGGCTGGAAGCTGACGAAGGGCCCACTGCGATGCGATGTTTTTCCACTTGGCCTTCGCGAGCCGCTTCTCGAAGTCCTCCGAGCAAGTTCGACTCTCAGGCTACGAAGCTTTATCAGTCGAACTTGATCGTTGACTTATCATCGGCCTCCAGCCTCTTCATCAAGCCTTCCAATACGCTGAGGACCGGCTGTACGGGTATCATGCCTGAAGCAGGAAGCATCAGGAAGCATAGAGGAATCAGAGCGCCCTCAGCCGGCTGCTGGCATCGGTGGCGGTGCTCGAGCTGGAGCCTTCCTGCGACGGAGCGAACGGCTGAGCTCAGGTTCTCACCTAGGACCTAGGCTTCCGCTGCCCCTCCAGCGATTCAGATTCACCCGCAGCACCGGCAGAATCCGGTTCAAGATTTTCAGTTTCCATCCGGCCGCTCCTCACGTGTAGAAGCAATGTTTGCCTCCACCGTGTTCGCCATGGCCTGGCGAAGGCATCGTGCAGCCTATCCGCAAGCATCCGCAGCTCAAGTAACGGGCGCGCGTCTCTGCTCAAAACATCGCGGCCTCGATCCGGCAACTTAACTCATCAACCTTCCGTGTAAGCTAGCTGGAAGCTGACGAAGGGCCCACTGCGATGCGAACTTTCCTCCACCTGGCCTTCGCAAACCGCTTCTCGAAATCCTCCGAGCGAGTTCCACTCTCAGGCTAGGAAGCTTTCTCGAACTTGATCGTTGACTTGTCATCGGCCGCCTCCATCCTCTTTGACAAGCCTTCCAGCATAGTGAGGACAGGGTGTAAGATGCCTGAAGCAGGAAGCATCAGCAATGCAAAATAGTGCAAAGGAATCAGAGTGCGCTTAGCCGGCTGCTGGGATCGGTGGTGGTGCTCGAGCTGGAGCCTTCCTGCGACGGAGCGAACGGCTAGGCTCTCACCTAGGCTTCCGCTGCCCATCCAACGATTCAAGTTCACGCGCAGCACCGGCAGAATCCGGCTCAAGATTTTCAGTTTGCATCCGGCGGCTCCTCACGTGTAGAAGCAATGTTTGCCTCCACCGTGTTCGCCATGGCCTGGCGAAGGCATCGTGCAGCCCATCCGCAAGCATCCGCAGCCCAAGTAACGGGCGCGCGTCTATGCTCAAAACATCGCGGCCTCGATCCGGCAGGTCAACTCATCAACCTTCCGTGTAAGCTAGCTGGAAGCTGACGAAGGGCCCACTGCAATGCGAACTTTCCTCCACCTGGCCTTCGCGAGCTGTCGCTCGAAATCCTCCGAGCGAGTTCGACTCTCAGGCTAGGAAGCTTTCTCGAACTTGATCGTTGACTTGTCATCGGCCGCCTCCATCCTCTGTGCCATGCCTTCCTGCACACTGTTGATAGGCTGTAAACTGCCTGAAGCAGGAAGCATCGAGAGAAGCGCAAGGGAATGAGAGCATGCTCAGCCGGCTGCTGGCATCCATGTTGGAGCTCGGGCTCGGGGCTTCAAATTCCTGCAACGGAGCGAACAGCTGAGCGCAGGCTCTCAGCTGCGCCGCACATCGACCCTCAGGCCTCCTTAGGCTTTCGCTGCCGCTCCAGCGATTCCTCGACGGTTCGGGCCCCGCAGCCCGCTCTCTCGGACTCTCTCGTATCATGATTCTCTTGCGAACAGAGAGCTCCAAGCATTAACACGCCGAGGAGCCAATCCGGACCTCCGCCCACCGCTACGCCGGGCCTTGGGGGATCGAGTTCACCCGCCCCGACCACCTCATGGCCATCTGACTAGCCGGAGACTGGGGTTGCGGCGCGGGACTCGCGGGATTCGCGGGATTCGCGGGGCTGGCGGCACTCAGAGCCCTGACAGGCTGTGCCATTGCTGCGCAGCTTGGCCGAGCTCGAACTGCAAATCACTGCCCATGACCACAGCGCGGCGGGGCCTCTTCTTTGAAAGGGCTTGCCTGCACGGGGACACACGCGCCGCCGCGCTCAAGCCTGCACCCAGGTCTGGCCTCCCGGCCAAGCAAGATCGGCAGAGGCCTCAGCCACACTGAGAAGGCCATCAACATGGACACTGAGATGCTGCCACACCACCCGAAGCGGCAGTCCGGGCTTGGGTCCAAGGAGCTTCAAAAAAGAGTTTGCCCAAACAGCCTTTGCCCCATCAAGCTGTCCCAGAGGATTTATTGCGCTCCCCCTTTCTTCAGCGTAAATGGCAGCTTGCAGCTGGCGGGTTCAGGGATCAATGATCTTCTGCGCCACGCGGCTGACTCGGATCCGGATTCGGGCTGTCACTAAGCAGACTAGTCCATGTACAGGAGTCCATGAGAATGCAGGATAAGCAGCACAGTAGCTCCGAAATCTTGCCCGAACGATCTTCTGCAGAACTGGCAGGGGGCAGAACCACCCTCATGGCAAAAAGATATAGAAAGGACCACACATGCTTCAATGCAGGATTGAGGCTTCGCTGAATAGTGATGCCGCGCTTGTTCGAGTCTCACTCGTGGAAATATGCCACAGGTTTCGGTAACCTCCCGGCAGTCTTGTTGCCTGAAATGTGCACCCAGTCACCCAACTGCCAACGCGCGTGTGCGCTCTTTGTCGCAGACAGCAGTGCAGGAAGCATGGAAGGAAAAGCAAAGCCGGCAGTTGCAATCGGAGGCTACCTGCGATTCAAGGCAACGGGTTTCTGAAGAGAGCAAGCACTATAAAACCCCAGGATGAGATAGGATGAGGAGTACGGGAAAAGGCGGCGATGTGCACACGAGGCAAGACAAATCAAAAAGGCTCGAGACTCAGGTCACGGCGGGCATGGCGGGCGCGAACGCGCTTCCTTCGGAGGCGTGCGGCTAACCTTGGCCATTTGCGACAGCAAGCTCGGCTCTGTCACCGGCGGCTTTACACTCAGAAGTCGAGGCTGCGGCAGAACGAGCGGCAGCGCCATGGGCTCGTCCAAGTTAGTCCGCGATCAGTTTGAAACCCCTCCACGACGTGGAGGGGTTTCAAACTGATCGCGGACTAACTTGGCACAATCGACTGATGTGATGTCCAAAGTCCTGCTACAAGTATCTAGCAGTCTAGCCCTGCAGTCTTGCAGTCGCGTCACTGACACCACCCTTTTGGGCAGCGTCGTGTAAATGATTTTACCCGGCCTTGGCCCAGCAAACTCCGCATCCACGCAGCCAAGGCGACTTTCACACTCAGATTGCGGCACATGAACAGGCTGACCTCAACGCCGCTTTGGAGCACAACGTGACTCAACACATCCTTCGCCACTGTTTGTGGGCGCCCAGCAAATGTGTCGCGATACCTCGGGCAGTTCAGTGCATGCTCACGGCACGCCGTCCCAAGAGAATCCGCTTCGAGGCTACTAGTAACGAAGATGTAGCCGAGTCGCCACGGTCACACCGGCTGACGCCGCCCTGGGCGACGGGGCGCGGCAGGCCATTGTCGAATCGCGAAGCCGCTGCAAAGCTGATCAAACAGAAAGCCGCAGCTGCTGCGACACTTTGAGCCAATCACCAAGCCATGACACTCTACGGAGCGACTGCGGAGCGGCCACTGGCTGGATAACAACGACTGCAGAGCCCAGCTGCGCAGCCGGGGTCTGGACGGCTTCCGTCGTCTTTCTCAAACACAACACCTTGCCTGCAGCATACAACTGTAGTCGAAATGGGCTGAAACAGTCGCAGACGCAGTGTTGAGGTTGAGGAGTCGGCTCAGGAATCGACGTTGGCTGTCGCCATGCTTTGAAGCCTTACGCGGAGCTGCTGCGATCGGTCCTGTTTTTGGGGGCGTGCTGCTAGAAACTTTGATCGAAAAAGCATGCCAGTCTGTATAGTGCTTGCACAGCTTCAAAAAGCACTCCGAAAACATTGGACTCTAGGGAGGCTCTGCGCATGGCTCCCGGCACTTTTCGGTATGGTCGTGACACTGGGGGTGGGCGCTTGGCTGGGTGCTGGAATCAACCATGTCAAAACCTGTGCTGTATCGGCCCCTAGCCAACTCCAACTCCTCCATCAATACAAGGTGCGAGAGTGAGTTCAAGTTACACCTGGAAACAGTTCAATTCAGATTTTCCTGTGCGAGATGATGTGCAAGATGTCTTCACGACCCGTTTAACGGTGCATTAGGAGCGTTCTGTTTTCTCTAGTGACTCTTGTGACTGCCCTGGAGGAGGCTCGGGTTCGGAGCTTCGAGCAACAAGGTGCTGTGACCTAACCTTGCCCTTGAGGGTCCTCCCAATACTGGAGATTCACTCACATGTCCGCGTCTTTCCATTTGCAGAATTCTTCAGAACTCGACTTCGCCCTATAGGTCGCAAGGTCAGCGCGCTGGCCGAGCGCCGCGCTTTTTACAACGCTTCACTTCTGGGGTCCCGGCGCTAAGGCACCAGCGGCCACATCCCTGGCTTCAGGCGAGCGGAGGAGTGATCAGTGTGACCTCAGGAGGTCGAGACCGGAGCGTCGAGGCTTCGCAGCTCGCAAGTTCGCACGGTCTGCCACAGCCGTGAGACCTTCTTCGCGTCAGGAAGTTAAGCACTTCAAGCCGCAGGATAGAGAATCGATCGTGAGCCGACAAGAAGGCATGGATAAAGGGATCCCAACCGGGCCACCGTCGAAATCTTCTTGCATTTCTGAGGTCCAGAAGACCTGTGCAGATTTGTCCGAGGCAGAGCGTCGACGAGACGACCAGCCCACGCACTTCTCTTGCGCCTGCGAGCCGTTCAACACGATCTGCACCGGAGTCGAGGGCAAGGCGGCGGGTACGAGCCTCAGCAGATCAAACGCGCGCACCCTTGACAGAAGCACTGGCAGACTCCACGCCCATAAAACCACAGGAAGAGCATTGCCTGGGATATGATATCATGGATCCGCCGTGCGGGTTGCTACTCGAATAAGAGTGCTGGCATGTCCAAGTCACGACCTGCTGGCAGCAAGCAGCGCTTCTTTTTCACGAAAATTGCGAACGGAACGGAATCCGGCGGGCCATCACTTCGCCTGCTTCTTCGCTTCCTTGGCGGAGGCTATCAGGTTCCTGGCCTCCTTGTAAGAGATCGCCTGGAGGTCACAGGTGCTTCGCAGCCGCTTTCAACCTGCGACTCCCCACCTGTCCATGGCTGTTCTTCACCCAATTCCGCAGCTGCTCCTCGGGATTCAGCAAGGTGCAGCACCGCTTCGGCTCCGGGTCGTGCTGGATCAGGATCGTGACTCACATGAGCATGAAGAAGCGTGATCATGCGAATCATGGCGGCTGCCCAGTGGCCGGCGTGGGAGTTTGCCCGAAATGAGCCGCGTACGCTGCCACCATGTCCTGTGCAGTGCCAAACACGCACGACGCCCTCACTGCGCCGCCAGCCGCGAAGTCCCCCAAACCCCGACGCTTCCTCGTTCTTGAGGATGATGCGGCCGTCTGCAGCTCGGGGAAGAAGTGCCTCGCCATTCCGGATCACTAGAATGACTGTGTCTGCGTCCTCATAGAGCAAAGCTACATGAGCCTCGAGGAGACTGTTGCGACCAATCCGGAAGGAAGCTCACATTCAAAGGCGTCGAAAGGAGTGATAAGGAACTCAGCTCCAATCTAAAAGGGAAGACGAAAGAAGACCCGCAGGCTCACTGTGAGATGCACCGCCGCTCAACCCTAGAAGCAGACACAACACAACCATTTCCCGAAATCCCGCCTCTCCATAGAGATACAGCCACCCAGGCCCACTTGCACGATGTGGTCGCGGTAGCTCTGAGAGGGCTTTGGCAAGCTTTCGCAGAACTCGGAGACTTGAAGCTTGGGCATTAGCATGTCAATGTTAGCATGCATCAGCCTCCAAACCCGCAAAGCCCCAGGTCAAACTCAAGCATCCTTGACTCCCGACTCCCCCAAAACCACGTGGGGATTCCGTTCTGCAACAAGCTTGAGCCTCCTTGTCACAAGAAGCCCCGTTTTCGCTCTGCAGTCCCGGCCTTCTTGCTGCTCCTGCTCTCCCGAGTCCTGTGGCCACACGTGGCACCACTGGAGAACGGACGGAAGACGCGACAAAGATCCCACCTCAAGAATCGCCTCGGTGCTGGCTTGCCCTGAAGTTCACAGCTTCGCACCGCTTCGCGTGCACTGCGCGAGTCGCGAGTCGAGCCTGGGTCCGCATTCTCCTGATTCTCCAGCTCCTCCCCTTCCGTCAGGAAGCCAAGGTGCCTGTGCTCAGCGGGCTCGGAAGCTTCTGCCACGGATGCCCGATGGCCTCTGCACGGCTGCGAGCTCCGCCTGCATGGCCAGCCGCTGGCCGGTTGCGCGTGCAACTACGAAGCAAGGCGGCGCAGGCTCCTTGTAGCCGTTCTTCTCCTTGAGCGCGTCCAGCGCAATCATGCGGCAATTACTGTTCTCGTCCTTCAGCATCAACTTGTCGCCTGCCTCAAGGGTGTCACGAGCCAACGTAGCCACTTGCCCCGTCTCCGCAGCACCAACACCAATGCAGTCGACAAGCCTGTCCGAAACCTAACTTTCCGGTTGCCAGCCGAGCATCCGCAAGCTGCAGCTGAAACTCCTGCTTCTCCACTGTCCTGGCACGTTTATATCGTTATTATTCCCTGATCAGAATATCTCTCTCCAAGTGGCGCCTTTTGATAAAGTCTACAAGTGCTGCTGATGGTAGTGCAACGGAACCGGGCCAAGGTGCTCGCGCAGGTTCTTATCTTCCGATTCCGTCTGGACGGCGGCCTACAGCCGTCGAGCTGGGGAGAGGGGAATGGCGGCAATCCCGAAAACGAACGGGTTGCACAAGACTACACTGGGCAATACCAGGCGAAACTGATGCAAAAAAAGCTTTCAACGCTTGGGCGGTGAAGCGCAACGCTTGCTCCAGTCGCAACAGCTGAGACAGCAGCTGAAACTGTTGAGCTCCGGCTGGTGGGCCGTTCCTGCAGGTACGTGGGGCTGGCCAAGCCGTCTTCAACAGCAACACCGGCTGCTTCTTAATGAAATCATCAGCTGAAGCTGAGGCGTCGGCGAGGAGCTGCGCCAGCTTGGCATCGATGTTTTCGATGCGCTGAGAAGCCACGATATTCGCGGCCTGGTCCGCATCTTCTGGGCTTTGCTTCGAGCGGCTCGCCACACAAAGCAAGATCACGTCCGGCGCGGCCTGCAACTGCTCCCATCGAGCTTCCCAGGCTTCCTGAAAAAATCGCGGGCGAATGCGGCAAGTTCATGCGCAGCACCGGCAGAATCCGGCTGCAGATTTTCGGTTCCCTCCGGCTCCTCACGTGTAGAAGCAATGTTTGCCTCCACCGTGTTCGCCATGGCCTGGCGAAGGCATCGTGTGGCTTATCCCCAGCCAAAGTGACGGGTGCACGTCTCTGCTCAAAACATCGCGGCCTCGATCCGCCAGCTCAACTCATCAACCTTCCGTGTAAGCTGGCTGGAAGCTGACGAAGGGCCCACTGCGATGCGAACTTTCCTCCACCTGGCCTTCGCAAACCGCTTCTCGAAATCCTCCGAGCGAGTTCGACTCTCGGGCAGCGAAGCTTTATCAATCGAACTTGATCGTTGACTTGTCATCGGCCTCCAGCCTCTTCATCAAGCCTTCCAATACACTGAGGACAGGCTGTACAGGTATCATGCCTGAAGCAGGAAGCATCAGGAAGCATAGAGGAATCAGAGCGCGCTCAGCCGGCTGCTGGCATCGGTGCTCGAGCTGGAGCCTTCCTGCGACGGAGCGAACAGCTGAGAGCTCAGGCTCTCAGCTAGGCTTCCGCTGCCCCTCCAGCGATTCAATTTCACGCGCAGCACCGGCAGAATCCGGTTCAAGATTTTCAGTTTCCATCCGGCGGCTCCTCACGTGTAGAAGCAATGTTTGCCTCCACCGTGTTCGCCATGGCCTGGCGAAGGCATCGCGCAGCCCATCCGCATGCTCAAAACATCGCGGCCTCGATCCGGCAAGCCAGCTCATCAACCTTCCGTGTAAGCCACAAGCTGACAACGGGCCCACTGCGATGCGCAATCTCCTCCACCTGGCCTTCGCGAAGCGACACTCGAAATCCTCCAAGCGAGTTCGACTCTCAGGCTACCAAGCTTTATCAATCGAACTTGATCGTTGACTTGTCATCGGCCTCCAGCCTCTTCATCAAGCCTTCCAATACACTGAGGACAGGCTGTACAGGTATCATGCCTGAAGCAGGAAGCATCAGGAAGCATAGAGGAATCAGAGCGCGCTCAGCCGGCTGCTGGCATCGGTGCTCGAGCTGGAGCCTTCCTGCGACGGAGCGAACAGCTGAGAGCTCAGGCTCTCAGCTAGGCTTCCGCTGCCCTCCAGCGATTCAATTTCACGCGCAGCACCGGCAGAATCCGGTTCAAGATTTTCAGTTTCCATCCGGCGGCTCCTCACGTGTAGAAGCAATGTTTGCCTCCACCGTGTTCGCCATGGCCTGGCGAAGGCATCGTGCAGTCCATCCGCAAGCATCCGCAGCCCAAGTAACGGGCGCGCGTCTCTGCTCAAAACATCGCGGCCTCGATCCGGCAAGCCAGCTCATCAACCTTCCGCGTAAGCTAGCTGGAAGCTGACGAAGGGCCCACTGCAATGCGAACTTTCCTCCACCTGGCCTTCGCGAGCTGTCGCTCGAAATCCTCCGAGCGAGTTCGACTCTCAGGCTAGGAAGCTTTCTCGAACTTGATCGTTGACTTGTCATCGGCCGCCTCCATCCTCTGTGCCATGCCTTCCTGCACACTGTTGATAGGCTGTAAACTGCCTGAAGCAGGAAGCATCGAGAGAAGCGCAAGGGAATGAGAGCATGCTCAGCCGGCTGCTGGCATCCATGTTGGAGCTCGGGCTCGGGGCTTCAAATTCCTGCAACGGAGCGAACAGCTGAGCTCAGGCTCTCAGCTGCGCCGCACTTCGACCCTCAGGCCTCCTTAGGCTTTCGCTGCCGCTCCAGCGATTCCTCGACGGTTCGGGCCCCGCAGCCCGCTCTCTCGGACTCTCTCGTATCATGACTCTCTTGCGAACAGAGAGCTCAGAGCATCTACAATCTACACGCCGAGGAGCCAATCCGGACCTCCGCCCACCGCTACGCCGGGCCTTGGGGGATCGAGTTCACCCGCCCCGACCACCTCATGGCCATCTGACTAGCCGGAGACTGGGGTTGCGGCGCGGGACTCGCGGGATTCGCGGGATTCGCGGGGCTGGCGGCACTCAGAGCCCTGACAGGCTGTGCCATTGCTGCGCAGCTTGGCCGAGCTCGAACTGCAAATCACTGCCCATGACCACAGCGCGGCGGGGCCTCTTCTTTGAAAGGGCTTGCCTGCACGGGGACACACGCACCGCCGCGCTCAAGCCTGCAACCAGGTCTGGCCTCCCGGCCAAGCAAGATCGGCAGAGGCCTCAGCCACACTGAGAAGGCCATCAACATGGACACTGAGATGCTGCCACACCACCCGAAGCGGCAGTCCGGGCTTGGGTCCAAGAGCTTCAAAAAAGAGTTTGCCCAAACAGCCTTTGCCCCATCAAGCTGTCCCAGAGGATTTATTGCGCTCCCCCTTTCTTCAGCGTAAATGGCAGCTTGCAGCTGGCGGGTTCAGGGATCAATGATCTTCTGCGCCACGCGGCTGACTCGGAGCCGGATTCGGGCTGTCATTAAGCAGACTAGTCCATGTACAGGAGTCCATGAGAATGCAGGATAAGCAGCACAGTAGCTCCGAAATCTTGCCCGAACGATCTTCTGCAGAACTGGCAGGGGGCAGAACAAAAAAGATATAGAAAGGACCACACATGCTTCAATGCAGGATTGAGGCTTCGCTGAAGAGTGATGCGCTTGTTCGAGTCTCGCTCGTGGAAATGTGCCACAGGTTTCGGTAACCTCCCAGCAGTCTTGTTGCCTGCAATGTGCACCCAGTCACCCAACTGCCAACGCGCGTGTGCGCTCTTTGTCGCAGACAGCAGTGCAGGAAGCATGGAAGGAAAAGCAAAGCCGGCAGTTGCAATCGGAGGCTACCTGCGATTCAAGGCAACGGGTTTCTGAAGAGAGCAAGCACTATAAAACCCCAGGATGAGATAGGATGAGGAGTACGGGAAAAGGCGGCGATGTGCACACGAGGCAAGACAGATCAAAAAGGCTCGAGACTCAGGTCACGGCGGGCATGGCGGGCGCGAACGCGCTTCCTTCGGAGGCGTGCGGCTAACCTTGGCCATTTGCGACTGCAACCTCGGCTCTGCCACCGGCGGCTTTACACTTATAAGTCGAGGCTGCGGCAGAACGAGCGGCAGCGCCATGGGCTCGTGGCGGGGTTTCAAACTGATCGCAGACTAACTTGGCACAATCGACTGATGTGTTGTCCAAAGTCCTGCTACAAGTATCCAGAAGTCTTGCCCTGCAGTCTTGCAGCCCCTGCCTGTCGCGTCACTGACACCACCCTTTTGGGCAGCGTCGTGTAAATGATTTTACCCGGCCTTGGCCCAGCAAACTCCGCATCCACGCAGCCAAGGCGACTTTCACACTCAGATTGCGGCACATGAACAGGCTGACCTCAACGCCGCTTTGGAGCACAACGTGACTCAACACATCCTTCGCCACTGTTTGTGGGCGCCCAGCAAATGTGTCGCGATACCTCGGGCAGTTCAGTGCATGCTCACGGCACGCCGTCCCAAGAGAATCCGCTTCGAGGCTACTAGTAACGAAGATGTAGCCGAGTCGCCACGGTCGCGCCGGCTGAAGCCGCTCTGGGCGACGGGACGCGGCAGGCCATCATCGAGTCGGATTGCGAAGCCGCTGCAAAGCTGATCAAACAGAAAGCCGCAGCTGCTGCGACACTTTGAGCCAATCACCAAGCCATGACACTCTACGGAGCGACTGCGGAGCGGCCACTGGCAGGATAGCAACGACGCAGAGCCCAGCTGCGCAGCCGGGGTCTGGACGGCTTCCGTCGTCTTTCTCAAACACAACACCTTGCCTGCAGCATACAACTGTAGTCGACATGGGCTGAAACAGTCGCAGACGCAGTGTTGAGGTTGAGGAGTCGGCTCAGGAATCGACGTTGGCTGTCGCCATGCTTTGAAGCCTTACGCGGAGCTGCCGATCGCAAAAGATCATGCCACACCATGCCCCTGTTTTTGGGGGTGCGCTGCCAGAAACGTTCATCGAAAAAGCATGCCAGTCTGTATAGTGCTTGCACAGCTTCAAAAAGCACTCCGAAAACATTGGACTCTAGGGAGGCTCTCCGCATGGCTCCCGGCACTTTTCGGTATGGTCGTGACACTGGGGGTGGGCGCTTGGCTGGGTGCTGGAATCAACCATGTCAAAACCTGTGCTGTATCGGCCCCTAGCCAACTCCAACTCCTCCATCAATACAAGGTGCGAGAGTGAGTTCAAGTTACACCTGGAAACAGTTCAATTCAGATTTTCCTGTGCGAGATGATGTGCAAGATGTCTTCACGACCCGTTTAACGGTGCATTAGGAGCGTTCTGTTTTCTCTAGTGACTCTTGTGACTGCCCTGGAGGAGGCTCGGGTTCGGAGCTTCGAGCAACAAGGTGCTGTGACCTAACCTTGCCCTTGAGGGTCCTCCCAATACTGGAGATTCACTCACATGTCCGCGTCTTTCCATTTGCAGAATTCTTCAGAACTCGACTTCGCCCTATAGGTCGCAAGGTCAGCGCGCTGGCCGAGCGCCGCGCTTTTTACAACGCTTCACTTCTGGGGTCCCGGCGCTAAGGCACCAGCGGCCACATCCCTGGCTTCAGGCGAGCGGAGGAGTGATCAGTGTGACCTCAGGAGGTCGAGACCGGAGCGTCGAGGCTTCGCAGCTCACAAGTTCGCACGGTCTGCCACAGCCGTGAGACCTTCTTCGCGTCAGGAAGTTAAGCACTTCAAGCCGCAGGATAGAGAATCGATCGTGAGCCGACAAGAAGGCATGGATAAAGGGATCCCAACCGGGCCACCGTCGAAATCTTCTTGCATTTCTGAGGTCCAGAAGACCTGTGCAGATTTGTCCGAGGCAGAGCGTCGACGAGACGACCAGCCCACGCACTTCTCTTGCGCCTGCGAGCCGTTCAACACGATCTGCACCGGAGTCGAGGGCAAGGCGGCGGGTACGAGCCTCAGCAGATCAAACGCGCGCACCCTTGACAGAAGCACTGGCAGACTCCACGCCCATAAAACCACAGGAAGAGCATTGCCTGGGATATGATATCATGGATCCGCCGTGCGGGTTGCTACTCGAATAAGAGTGCTGGCATGTCCAAGTCACGACCTGCTGGCAGCAAGCAGCGCTTCTTTTTCACGAAAATTGCGAACGGAACGGAATCCGGCGGGCCATCACTTCGCCTGCTTCTTCGCTTCCTTGGCGGAGGCTATCAGGTTCCTGGCCTCCTTGTAAGAGATCGCCTGGAGGTCACAGGTGCTTCGCAGCCACTTGCAACCCAGAACTTGCGACATCCTACGACTCCCCACCTGTCCATGGCTGTTCTTCACCCAATTCCGCAGCTGCTCCTCGGGATTCAGCAAGGTGCAGCACCGCTTCGGCTCCGGGTCGTGCTGGATCAGGATCGTGACTCACATGAGCATGAAGAAGCGTGATCATGCGAATCATGGCGGCTGCCCAGTGGCCGGCGTGGGAGTTTGCCCGAAATGAGCCGCGTACGCTGCCACCATGTCCTGTGCAGTGCCAAACACGCACGACGCCCTCACTGCGCCGCCAGCCGCGAAGTCCCCCAAACCCCGACGCTTCCTCCTTCTTGAGGATGATGCGGCCGTCTGCAGCTCGGGGAAGAAGTGCCTCGCCATTCCGGATCACTAGAATGACTGTGTCTGCGTCCTCATAGAGCAAAGCTACATGAGCCTCGAGGAGACTGCTGCGACCAATCCGGAAGGAAGCTCAAATTCAAAGGCGTCGAAAGGAGTGATAAGGAACCCAGCTCCAAGCAAAAAGCGAGGACCAAAGAAGACCCTCAGGCTAACCACAGGATGCACCACCGCTCAACCCTAAAAGCACAGACAACATCACCATTTCCTGGAATCCCGCCTCTCCATAGAGATACAGCCAGCCAGGCCCACTTGCACGATGTGGTCGCGGTAGCTCTGAGAGGGCTTTGGCAAGCTTTCGCAGAACTCGGAGACTTGAAGCTTGGGCATTAGCATGTCAATGTTAGCATGCATCAGCCTCCAAACCCGCAAAGCCCCAGGTCAAATTTAATATTTTTGACTCCCGACTCCCCCAAAACCACGTGGGGATTCCGTTCTGCAACAAGCTTGGGCCTCCTTGTCACAAGAAGCCCCGTTTTCGCTCTGCAGTCCCGGCCTTCTTGCTGCTCCTGCTCTCCCGAGTCCTGTGGCCACACGTGGCACCACTGGAGAACGGACGGAAGACGCGATAAAGATCCCACCTCAAGAATCGCCTCGGTGCTGGCTTGCCCTGAAGTTCACAGCTTCGCACCGCTTCGCGTGCACTGCGCGAGTCGCGAGTCGAGCCTGGCTCCTCATTCTCCTGATTCTCCAGCTCCTCCCCTTCCGTCAGGAAGCCAAGGTGCCTGTGCTCAGCGGGGCTCGGAAGCTTCTGCCACGGATGCCCGATGGCCTCTGCGCGGCTGCGAGCTCCGCCTGCATGGCCAGCCGCTGGCCGGTTGCGCGTGCAACTACGAAGCAAGGCGGCGCAGGCTCCTTGTAGCCGTTCTTCTCCTTGAGCGCATCCAGCGCAATCCTGCGGCAATTACTGTTCTCGTCCTTCAGCATCAACTTGTCGCCTGCCTCAGGGTGTCACGAGCCAACGTAGCCACTTGCCCCGTCTTCGCATGCATCAACAAAGCCTGTCCGAAACCTAACTTTCCGGTTGCCAGCCGAGCATCCGCAAGCTGCAGCTGAAACTCCTGCTTCTCCACTGTCCTGGTCTCAGGCACGTCTATATCGTCTATATATTCCCTAATCAGAATGCTCCCTCCAAGTGGCGCCTTTTGATGAAGTCTACAAGTGCAGCTGATGGTAATGCAACGGAACCGGGCCAAGGTGCTCGCGCAGGTTCTTATCTTCCGATTCCGTCTGGACGGCGGCCTACAGCCGTCGAGATGGAGAGAGGGGAATGGCGCGGCAATCCCGAAAACGAACGGGTTGCACAAGACTACACTGGGCGACGCCAGGCGAAACTGACAAATAAAAGCGTTCAACACTTGGGAAGTGAAGCGCAACGCTAGCTCCAGTCGCAACAGCTGAGACAGCACAAGACTACACTGGGCGATACCAGGCGAAACTGACAAATAAAGACGTTCAACACTTGGGCAGTGAAGCGCAATGCTTGCTCCAGTCGCAACAGCTGAGACAGCAGCTGAAACTGTTGAGCTCCGGCAGGTGGGCCGTTCCTGCAGGTGCGTGGGGCTGGCCAAGCCGTCTTCAACAGCAACACCGGCTGCTTCTTATATGAAATCATAAGCTGAAGCTGAGGCATCGGCGAGGAGCTGTGCCAGCTGGGCATCGATATTCTCGATGCGCTGAGAAGCCACGATATTCGCGGCCTTGTCCGCATCTTCTGGGCTTTGCTTCGCGCGGCTCGCGACACAAAGCAAGATCACGTCCGGCGCGGCCTGCAACTGCTCACATCGAGCTTCCCAGGCTTCCTGAAAACATCGCGGGCGAATGCCGGAAGTTCATGCGCAGCACCGGCAAAATCCGGCTGCAGATGTTCAGCTTCTTTCCGGCTCCTCACATGTAGAAGCAGTGTTTGCCTCCACCGTGGTCGCCATGGCCTGGCGAAGGCATCGTGTGGCTTATCCCCAGCCAAAGTGACGGGTGCACGTCTCTGCTCAAAACATCGCGGCCTCGATCCGGCAACTTAACTCATCAACCTTCCGTGTAAGCTGGCTGGAAGCTGACGAAGGGCCCACTGCGATGCGATGTTTTTCCACTTGGCCTTCGCGAGCCGCTTCTCGAAGTCCTCCGAGCAAGTTCGACTCTCAGGCTACGAAGCTTTATCAGTCGAACTTGATCGTTGACTTGTCATCGGCCTCCAGCCTCTTCATCAAGCCTTCCAATACGCTGAGGACCGGCTGTACGGGTATCATGCCTGAAGCAGGAAGCATCAGGAAGCATAGAGGAATCAGAGCGCCCTCAGCCGGCTGCTGGCATCGGTGGCGGTGCTCGAGCTGGAGCCTTCCTGCGACGGAGCGAACGGCTGAGCTCAGGTTCTCACCTAGGCTTCCGCTGCCCCTCCAGCGATTCAGATTCACCCGCAGCACCGGCAGAATCCGGTTCAAGATTTTCAGTTTCCATCCGGCCGCTCCTCACGTGTAGAAGCAATGTTTGCCTCCACCGTGTTCGCCATGGCCTGGCGAAGGCATCGTGCAGCCTATCCGCAAGCATCCGCAGCTCAAGTAACGGGCGCGCGTCTCTGCTCAAAACATCGCGGCCTCGATCCGGCAACTTAACTCATCAACCTTCCGTGTAAGCTAGCTGGAAGCTGACGAAGGGCCCACTGCGATGCGAACTTTCCTCCACCTGGCCTTCGCAAACCGCTTCTCGAAATCCTCCGAGCGAGTTCCACTCTCAGGCTAGGAAGCTTTCTCGAACTTGATCGTTGACTTGTCATCGGCCGCCTCCATCCTCTTTGACAAGCCTTCCAGCATAGTGAGGACAGGGTGTAAGATGCCTGAAGCAGGAAGCATCAGCAATGCAAAATAGTGCAAAGGAATCAGAGTGCGCTTAGCCGGCTGCTGGGATCGGTGGTGGTGCTCGAGCTGGAGCCTTCCTGCGACGGAGCGAACGGCTAGGCTCTCACCTAGGCTTCCGCTGCCCATCCAACGATTCAAGTTCACGCGCAGCACCGGCAGAATCCGGCTCAAGATTTTCAGTTTGCATCCGGCGGCTCCTCACGTGTAGAAGCAATGTTTGCCTCCACCGTGTTCGCCATGGCCTGGCGAAGGCATCGTGCAGCCCATCCGCAAGCATCCGCAGCCCAAGTAACGGGCGTGCGTCTATGCTCAAAACATCGCGGCCTCGATCCGGCAGGTCAACTCATCAACCTTCCGTGTAAGCTAGCTGGAAGCTGACGAAGGGCCCACTGCAATGCGAACTTTCCTCCACCTGGCCTTCGCAAACCGCTTCTCGAAATCCTCCGAGCGAGTTCGACTCTCAGGCTAGGAAGCTTTCTCGAACTTGATCGTTGACTTGTCATCGGCCGCCTCCATCCTCTGTGCCATGCCTTCCTGCACACTGTTGATAGGCTGTAAACTGCCTGAAGCAGGAAGCATCGAGAGAAGCGCAAGGGAATGAGAGCATGCTCAGCCGGCTGCTGGCATCCATGTTGGAGCTCGGGCTCGGGGCTTCAAATTCCTGCAACGGAGCGAACAGCTGAGCGCAGGCTCTCAGCTGCGCCGCACATCGACCCTCAGGCCTCCTTAGGCTTTCGCTGCCGCTCCAGCGATTCCTCGACGGTTCGGGCCCCGCAGCCCACTCTCTCGGACTCTCTCGTATCATGATTCTCTTGCGAACAGAGAGCTCCAAGCATTAACACGCCGAGGAGCCAATCCGGACCTCCGCCCACCGCTACGCCGGGCCTTGGGGGATCGAGTTCACCCGCCCCGACCACCTCATGGCCATCTGACTAGCCGGAGACTGGGGTTGCGGCGCGGGACTCGCGGGATTCGCGGGATTCGCGGGGCTGGCGGCACTCAGAGCCCTGACAGGCTGTGCCATTGCTGCGCAGCTTGGCCGAGCTCGAACTGCAAATCACTGCCCATGACCACAGCGCGGCGGGGCCTCTTCTTTGAAAGGGCTTGCGCCGCGCTCAAGCCTGCAACCAGGTCTGGCCTCCCGGCCAAGCAAGATCGGCAGAGGCCTCAGCCACACTGAGAAGGCCATCAACATGGACACTGAGATGCTGCCACACCACCCGAAGCGGCAGTCCGGGCTTGGGTCCAAGGAGCTTCAAAAAAGAGTTTGCCCAAACAGCCTTTGCCCCATCAAGCTGTCCCAGAGGAATTATTGCGCTCCCCCTTTCTTCAGCGTAAATGGCAGCTTGCAGCTGGCGGGTTCAGGGATCAATGATCTTCTGCGCCACGCGGCTGACTCGGAGCCGGATTCGGGCTGTCATTAAGCAGACTAGTCCATGTACAGGAGTCCATGAGAATGCAGGATAAGCAGCACAGTAGCTCCGAAATCTTGCCCGAACGATCTTCTGCAGAACTGGCAGGGGGCAGAACAAAAAAGATATAGAAAAGACCACACATGCTTCAATGCAGGATTGAGGCTTCGCTGAAGAGTGATGCGCTTGTTCGAGTCTCGCTCGTGGAAATGTGCCACAGGTTTCGGTAACCTCCCAGCAGTCTTGTTGCCTGCAATGTGCACCCAGTCACCCAACTGCCAACGCGCGTGTGCGCTCTCTGTCGCAGACAGCAGTGCAGGAAGCATGGAAGGAAAAGCAAAGCCGGCAGTTGCAATCGGAGGCTACCTGCGATTCAAGGCAACGGGTTTCTGAAGAGAGCAAGCACTATAAAACCCCAGGATGAGATAGGATGAGGAGTACGGGAAAAGGCGGCGATGTGCACACGAGGCAAGACAGATCAAAAAGGCTCGAGACTCAGGTCACGGCGGGCATGGCGGGCGCGAACGCGCTTCCTTCGGAGGCGTGCGGCTAACCTTGGCCATTTGCGACTGCAACCTCGGCTCTGCCACCGGCGGCTTTACACTTATAAGTCGAGGCTGCGGCAGAACGAGCGGCAGCGCCATGGGCTCGTGGCGGGGTTTCAAACTGATCGCAGACTAACTTGGCACAATCGACTGATGTGTTGTCCAAAGTCCTGCTACAAGTATCCAGAAGTCTTGCCCTGCAGTCTTGCAGCCCCTGCCTGTCGCGTCACTGACACCACCCTTTTGGGCAGCGTCGTGTAAATGATTTTACCCGGCCTTGGCCCAGCAAACTCCGCATCCACGCAGCCAAGGCGACTTTCACACTCAGATTGCGGCACATGAACAGGCTGACCTCAACGCCGCTTTGGAGCACAACGTGACTCAACACATCCTTCGCCACTGTTTGTGGGCGCCCAGCAAATGTGTCGTGATACCTCGGGCAGTTCAGTGCATGCTCACGGCACGCCGTCCCAAGACCCAAGAGAATCCGCTTCGAGGCTACTAGTAACGAAGATGTAGCCGAGTCGCCACGGTCGCGCCGGCTGAAGCCGCTCTGGGCGACGGGACGCGGCAGGCCATCATCGAGTCAGAAAGCCGCAGCTGCTGCGACACTTTGAGCCAATCACCAAGCCATGACACTCTACGGAGCGACTGCGGAGCGGCCACTGGCAGGATAGCAACGACTGCAGAGCCCAGCTGCGCAGCCGGGGTCTGGACGGCTTCCGTCGTCTTTCTCAAACACAACACCTTGCCTGCAGCATACAACTGTAGTCGACATGGGCTGAAACAGTCGCAGACGCAGTGTTGAGGTTGAGGAGTCGGCTCAGGAATCGACGTTGGCTGTCGCCATGCTTTGAAGCCTTACGCGGAGCTGCCGATCGCAAAAGATCATGCCACACCATGCCCCTGTTTTTGGGGGTGCGCTGCCAGAAACGTTCATCGAAAAAGCATGCCAGTCTGTATAGTGCTTGCACAGCTTCAAAAAGCACTCCGAAAACATTGGACTCTAGGGAGGCTCTCCGCATGGCTCCCGGCACTTTTCGGTATGGTCGTGACACTGGGGGTGGGCGCTTGGCTGGGTGCTGGAATCAACAATGTCAAAACCTGTGCTGTATCGGCCCCTAGCCAACTCCAACTCCTCCATCAATACAAGGTGCGAGAGTGAGTTCAAGTTACACCTGGAAACAGTTCAATTCAGATTTTCCTGTGCGAGATGATGTGCAAGATGTCTTCACGACCCGTTTAACGGTGCATTAGGAGCGTTCTGTTTTCTCTAGTGACTCTTGTGACTGCCCTGGAGGAGGCTCGGGTTCGGAGCTTCGAGCAACAAGGTGCTGTGACCTAACCTTGCCCTTGAGGGTCCTCCCAATACTGGAGATTCACTCACATGTCCGCGTCTTTCCATTTGCAGAATTCTTCAGAACTCGACTTCGCCCTATAGGTCGCAAGGTCAGCGCGCTGGCCGAGCGCCGCGCTTTTTACAACGCTTCACTTCTGGGGTCCCGGCGCTAAGGCACCAGCGGCCACATCCCTGGCTTCAGGCGAGCGGAGGAGTGATCAGTGTGACCTCAGGAGGTCGAGACCGGAGCGTCGAGGCTTCGCAGCTCACAAGTTCGCACGGTCTGCCACAGCCGTGAGACCTTCTTCGCGTCAGGAAGTTAAGCACTTCAAGCCGCAGGATAGAGAATCGATCGTGAGCCGACAAGAAGGCATGGATAAAGGGATCCCAACCGGGCCACCGTCGAAATCTTCTTGCATTTCTGAGGTCCAGAAGACCTGTGCAGATTTGTCCGAGGCAGAGCGTCGACGAGACGACCAGCCCACGCACTTCTCTTGCGCCTGCGAGCCGTTCAACACGATCTGCACCGGAGTCGAGGGCAAGGAAGCGGGTACGAGACTCAGCAGATCAAACGCGCGCACCCTTGACAGAAGCACTGGCAGACTCCACGCCCATAAAACCACAGGAAGAGCATTGCCTGGGATATGATATCATGGATCCGCCGTGCGGGTTGCTACTCGAATAAGAGTGCTGGCATGTCCAAGTCACGACCTGCTGGCAGCAAGCAGCGCTTCTTTTTCACGAAAATTGCGAACGGAACGGAATCCGGCGGGCCATCACTTCGCCTGCTTCTTCGCTTCCTTGGCGGAGGCTATCAGGTTCCTGGCCTCCTTGTAAGAGATCGCCTGGAGGTCACAGGTGCTTCGCAGCCACTTGCAACCCAGAACTTGCGACATCCTACGACTCCCCACCTGTCCATGGCTGTTCTTCACCCAATTCCGCAGCTGCTCCTCGGGATTCAGCAAGGTGCAGCACCGCTTCGGCTCCGGGTCGTGCTGGATCAGGATCGTGACTCACATGAGCATGAAGAAGCGTGATCATGCGAATCATGGCGGCTGCCCAGTGGCCGGCGTGGGAGTTTGCCCGAAATGAGCCGCGTACGCTGCCACCATGTCCTGTGCAGTGCCAAACACGCACGACGCCCTCACTGCGCCGCCAGCCGCGAAGTCCCCCAAACCCCGACGCTTCCTCCTTCTTGAGGATGATGCGGCCGTCTGCAGCTCGGGGAAGAAGTGCCTCGCCATTCCGGATCACTAGAATGACTGTGTCTGCGTCCTCATAGAGCAAAGCTACATGAGCCTCGAGGAGACTGCTGCGACCAATCCGGAAGGAAGCTCAAATTCAAAGGCGTCGAAAGGAGTGATAAGGAACCCAGCTCCAAGCAAAAAGCGAGGACCAAAGAAGACCCTCAGGCTAACCACAGGATGCACCACCGCTCAACCCTAAAAGCACAGACAACATCACCATTTCCTGGAATCCCGCCTCTCCATAGAGATACAGCCAGCCAGGCCCACTTGCACGATGTGGTCGCGGTAGCTCTGAGAGGGTTGTGGCAAGTTTTCGCAGAACTCGGAGACTTGAAGCTTGGGCATTAGCATGTTAGCATGCATCAGCCTCCAAACCCGCAAAGCCCCAGGTCAAATCCAACATCCTTGACTCCCGACTCCCCCAAAACCACGTGGGGATTCCGTTCTGCAACAAGCTTGGGCCTCCTTGTCACAAGAAGCCCCGTTTTCGCTCTGCAGTCCCGGCCTTCTTGCTGCTCCTGCTCTCCCGAGTCCTGTGGCCACACGTGGCACCACTGGAGAACGGACGGAAGACGCGATAAAGATCCCACCTCAAGAATCGCCTCGGTGCTGGCTTGCCCTGAAGTTCACAGCTTCGCACCGCTTCGCGTGCACTGCGCGAGTCGCGAGTCGAGCCTGGGTCCTCATTCTCCTGATTCTCCAGCTCCTCCCCTTCCGTCAGGAAGCCAAGGTGCCTGTGCTCAGCGGGGCTCGGAAGCTTCTGCCACGGATGCCCGATGGCCTCTGCGCGGCTGCGAGCTCCGCCTGCATGGCCAGCCGCTGGCAACTACGAAGCAAGGCGGCGCAGGCTCCTTGTAGCCGTTCTTCTCCTTGAGCGCATCCAGCGCAATCCTGCGGCAATTACTGTTCTCGTCCTTCAGCATCAACTTGTCGCCTGCCTCAGGGTGTCACGAGCCAACGTAGCCACTTGCCCCGTCTTCGCATGCATCAACAAAGCCTGTCCGAAACCTAACTTTCCGGTTGCCAGCCGAGCATCCGCAAGCTGCAGCTGAAACTCCTGCTTCTCCACTGTCCTGGTCTCAGGCACGTCTATATCGTCTATATATTCCCTAATCAGAATGCTCCCTCCAAGTGGCGCCTTTTGATGAAGTCTACAAGTGCAGCTGATGGTAATGCAACGGAACCGGGCCAAGGTGCTCGCGCAGGTTCTTATCTTCCGATTCCGTCTGGACGGCGGCCTACAGCCGTCGAGATGGAGAGAGGGGAATGGCGCGGCAATCCCGAAAACGAACGGGTTGCACAAGACTACACTGGGCGACGCCAGGCGAAACTGACAAATAAAAGCGTTCAACACTTGGGAAGTGAAGCGCAACGCTAGCTCCAGTCGCAACAGCTGAGACAGCACAAGACTACACTGGGCGATACCAGGCGAAACTGACAAATAAAGACGTTCAACACTTGGGCAGTGAAGCGCAATGCTTGCTCCAGTCGCAACAGCTGAGACAGCAGCTGAAACTGTTGAGCTCCGGCAGGTGGGCCGTTCCTGCAGGTGCGTGGGGCTGGCCAAGCCGTCTTCAACAGCAACACCGGCTGCTTCTTATATGAAATCATAAGCTGAAGCTGAGGCATCGGCGAGGAGCTGTGCCAGCTGGGCATCGATATTCTCGATGCGCTGAGAAGCCACGATATTCGCGGCCTTGTCCGCATCTTCTGGGCTTTGCTTCGCGCGGCTCGCGACACAAAGCAAGATCACGTCCGGCGCGGCCTGCAACTGCTCCCATCGAGCTTCCCAGGCTTCCTGAAAACATCGCGGGCGAATGCCGGAAGTTCATGCGCAGCACCGGCAAAATCCGGCTGCAGATGTTCAGTTTCTTTCCGGCTCCTCACATGTAGAAGCAGTGTTTGCCTCCACCGTGGTCGCCATGGCCTGGCGAAGGCATCGTGTGGCTTATCCCCAGCCAAAGTGACGGGTGCACGTCTCTGCTCAAAACATCGCGGCCTCGATCCGGCAACTTAACTCATCAACCTTCCGTGTAAGCTGGCTGGAAGCTGACGAAGGGCCCACTGCGATGCGATGTTTTTCCACTTGGCCTTCGCGAGCCGCTTCTCGAAGTCCTCCGAGCAAGTTCGACTCTCAGGCTACGAAGCTTTATCAGTCGAACTTGATCGTTGACTTGTCATCGGCCTCCAGCCTCTTCATCAAGCCTTCCAATACGCTGAGGACCGGCTGTACGGGTATCATGCCTGAAGCAGGAAGCATCAGGAAGCATAGAGGAATCAGAGCGCCCTCAGCCGGCTGCTGGCATCGGTGGCGGTGCTCGAGCTGGAGCCTTCCTGCGACGGAGCGAACGGCTGAGCTCAGGTTCTCACCTAGGCTTCCGCTGCCCCTCCAGCGATTCAGATTCACCCGCAGCACCGGCAGAATCCGGTTCAAGATTTTCAGTTTCCATCCGGCCGCTCCTCACGTGTAGAAGCAATGTTTGCCTCCACCGTGTTCGCCATGGCCTGGCGAAGGCATCGTGCAGCCTATCCGCAAGCATCCGCAGCTCAAGTAACGGGCGCGCGTCTCTGCTCAAAACATCGCGGCCTCGATCCGGCAACTTAACTCATCAACCTTCCGTGTAAGCTAGCTGGAAGATGCTGGAAGCTGACGAAGGGCCCACTGCGATGCGAACTTTCCTCCACCTGGCCTTCGCAAACCGCTTCTCGAAATCCTCCGAGCGAGTTCCACTCTCAGGCTAGGAAGCTTTCTCGAACTTGATCGTTGACTTGTCATCGGCCGCCTCCATCCTCTTTGACAAGCCTTCCAGCATAGTGAGGACAGGGTGTAAGATGCCTGAAGCAGGAAGCATCAGCAATGCAAAATAGTGCAAAGGAATCAGAGTGCGCTTAGCCGGCTGCTGGGATCGGTGGTGGTGCTCGAGCTGGAGCCTTCCTGCGACGGAGCGAACGGCTAGGCTCTCACCTAGGCTTCCGCTGCCCATCCAACGATTCAAGTTCACGCGCAGCACCGGCAGAATCCGGCTCAAGATTTTCAGTTTGCATCCGGCGGCTCCTCACGTGTAGAAGCAATGTTTGCCTCCACGTGTTCGCCATGGCCTGGCGAAGGCATCGTGCAGCCCATCCGCAAGCATCCGCAGCCCAAGTAACGGGCGCGCGTCTATGCTCAAAACATCGCGGCCTCGATCCGGCAGGTCAACTCATCAACCTTCCGTGTAAGCTAGCTGGAAGCTGACGAAGGGCCCACTGCAATGCGAACTTTCCTCCACCTGGCCTTCGCGAGCTGTCGCTCGAAATCCTCCGAGCGAGTTCGACTCTGAGGCTAGGAAGCTTTCTCGAACTTGATCGTTGACTTGTCATCGGCCGCCTCCATCCTCTGTGCCATGCCTTCCTGCACACTGTTGATAGGCTGTAAACTGCCTGAAGCAGGAAGCATCGAGAGAAGCGCAAGGGAATGAGAGCATGCTCAGCCGGCTGCTGGCATCCATGTTGGAGCTCGGGCTCGGGGCTTCAAATTCCTGCAACGGAGCGAACAGCTGAGCGCAGGCTCTCAGCTGCGCCGCACATCGACCCTCAGGCCTCCTTAGGCTTTCGCTGCCGCTCCAGCGATTCCTCGACGGTTCGGGCCCCGCAGCCCGCTCTCTCGGACTCTCTCGTATCATGATTCTCTTGCGAACAGAGAGCTCCAAGCATTAACACGCCGAGGAGCCAATCCGGACCTCCGCCCACCGCTACGCCGGGCCTTGGGGGATCGAGTTCACCCGCCCCGATCACCTCATGGCCATCTGACTAGCCGGAGACTGGGGTTGCGGCGCGGGACTCGCGGGATTCGCGGGATTCGCGGGGCTGGCGGCACTCAGAGCCCTGACAGGCTGTGCCATTGCTGCGCAGCTTGGCCGAGCTCGAACTGCAAATCACTGCCAATGACCACAGCGCGGCGGGGCCTCTTCTTTGAAAGGGCTTGCCTGCACGGGGACACACGCGCCGCCGCGCTCAAGCCTGCACCCAGGTCTGGCCTCCCGGCCAAGCAAGATCGGCAGAGGCCTCAGCCACACTGACAAGGCCATCCCAGAAGCTCAGGCTTGGGTCCAAGGTCCAAGAATTCGCGGTAGTGCCGCATGTATAGAGCCATTAAGCAGACGCTTCCATGTATAGGAGTCTATGAGAATGCAGGATAAACCAGCAGATCACATCTCACCCGAACGATTTTCTGCAGAACTGGCAGGGGGCAGAACCCCCTCATGGCAAAAAGATACAGAGAGGACCACATGCTGCAGAGGCATGTAAACGTGGGATGCCTTGTGAGGCCTCGCTGAATAGTGAGCTTCGCTGTGCGCTTGTTCGAGTCTTATTCGTGGGAATATTGCACAGGTTTTGCCAGCAGTCTTGCCTGAAATGTGGACCCAACTACAGACGCGCGTGCGCGCTCCCCGTCGCAAACAGCAGCGCGGGAAGCGTGGAATGAACGGGAGAGCCGTCAGTCGCAATCAGAGTCTACGGGTTTCTGAAGAGAGCAAGCACTATACAACCCCAGGATCAGGAGTATGGGAAAAGGAGATCTTCACACCAGGCGAGACAAATCAAAAAGGCTCGAGACTCAGGTCACGGCGGGCATGGCGGGCGCGAACGCGCCTCCTTCGGAGGCGTGCGGCTCACCTTGGCCATTTGCGACAGCAAGCTCGGCTCTGTCACCGGCAGCTTTACACTTATAAGTCGAGGCTGCGGCAGAACGAGCGGCAGCGCCATGGGCTCGTCCAAGTTAGTCCGCGATCAGTTTGAAACCCCTCCACGACGTGGAGGGGTTTCAAACTGATCGCGGACTAACTTGGCACAATCGACTGATGTGATGTCCAAAGTCCTGCTACAAGTATCTAGCAGTCTAGCCCTGCAGTCTTGCAGCCCCTGCCTGTCGCGTCACTGACACCACCCTTTTGGGCAGCGTCGTGTAAATGATTTTACCCGGCCTTGGCCCAGCAAACTCCGCATCCACGCAGCCAAGGCGACTTTCACACTCAGATCGCGGCACGTGAACAGGCTGACCTAAACACCGCTTTCGAGCGCAAACTGCTGAACACATCCTTGGCCACTGTTCTTGGGTGCCCAGCAAACGTGTCGCGATACCTCGGGCAGTTCGGTGCACGCTCACGCAACGCCGTCCAAAGAGAATCCGCTTCGAGGCAACTACTAGTACAGTACGAGGATGTAGCCGAGTCGCCACGGTCGCGCCGGCTGACGCCGCCCTGGGCGACGGGGCGCGGCAGGCCATTGTCGAATCGCGAAGCCGCTGCAAAGCTGATCAAACAGAAAGCCGCAGCTGCTGCGACACTTTGAGCCAATCACCAAGCCATGACACTCTACGGAGCGACTCCAGAGCGGCCACTGGCAGGATAGCAACGACTGCAGAGCCCAGCTGCGCAGCCGGGGTCTGGACGGCTTTCGTCGCCTTTCTCAACCACCGCACCTTTCTTGCCTGCAGCATTCAACTATAGTGTTGAGGAGTCGGCTCAGGAATCGACGTTGGATGTCGCCATGCAGGTCCGTAGAGTGCTTGTGCAGCTTCAAAAGCACTCCGAAAGCATTGTCTACGCACTCCGAGGAGGCTCTCCGCATGGCCCCCGGCTCTTAGAGCATCTCTTACCGAGCTCCGCTGGCACTTTCGGGAATTCAATGCCGTGCCATCCTGTGGTGACACTTAGGGGTGGGCCCTTGGCTGGGTGCTGGAATCAACCATGCTCAACTTGTGCTGCACCGGGCGACCCCGCATTGCCCCCACCCAACGCCTCCATCAACACTGATACAAGTTGCAAGAGTAAGATCAAGACACACCTGCAACACAGTTCATTTCGGACGCCCCACCCCTTTCACCGAAATGACTGCGTCCGCGCGTGGCCAAAGCCTTCATGAGCCAAAGCTGATGGAGCAACAACAGTTTTCATTCGCAGCAGGAGCAATCGAACGAGAGTGAAGGTCATGATGTCACTGGCCTGGGACGTGCGGCAGCTCGAAGGTTTATTCTTCAGGCCAAGCATGCAAAGAGTGGATGCATATACAACAACGACACAGCATTCAGCATTCCCATAATGCCCTGCGGTCGACTCGAAATCTGACGAACTCGAGAGCTTGGCTGCTGAGCTGGCAAGCCCCCCGCTTTCCGTTCCCTATGGTGGCGCAACCCACGCAGCAAACACGGCAACATCTCTGACAGAGGTGGAAACTTTTCTTTGTGGCGGCACATCGAGTGGTTGCATTACAAGTTCGCCGAAAAAAGGGACGTGAGTACACAACTGCTGTGCCCTTGGCCGAAGTGGGACACGTCGCTCGTGAAGCCCTTAAATGCAGCGTTTGCCTGGTTGAAACACTAAGTCAAAGTCCATTAAAGTGCTGCAGTTTCCCTCATCAATCTCTCAATGTTTGGGACGGCACGGCGGCAAACCCAGCGGCCACCCAGCTAACCCCTCTACAAACACCGAAGTGACGGAAGCTTTAGAAACACGCGAGTGTAAACCTGAACGGGAAGCCACGGCCTGTCTTCATCCGCGCATGGCGGAATCGTTGCACAGAATCCTTCCCTGCCTCAAGTTGAAAGTCTACCAGAGTCTACCACAGCATAAGACGCCTCAAGTTTCCTCTTTCCATATTTACCTGCACAGGCTGAATGCTGATAAGCCCACGGCCACTTCGGCAGAAGCCTCTCGTGCCTGGAAGTCGTACCTGCCACAGGTTGGAAACCTCAAGGACAGAGCGCTCTCGGCATCGCATCGCAAGCCAGCGGCCCACGTAGTCGGGCTTGATTGGAGAAGCAGTCACACCTGCTCATGCTCAAGATCCGGCACAACTGCGCCCCTACAGTGGAGGGCATGGCCGAGACTGCACAGCGTCGAGGCCATCGCCTGGATGTCCTGGCGCAAAGCAGGCGGCCTGATGAGCACAGCAGAAGATCGCTGCAAGTCGGAAAAGAAATGCTGCACGTTGCTTGCTTCTCATTGCTCATATTACATCGGTTACATCGTCTCTGACAATTTTACTTGCCGTCAGCGCCATTGCAGAAATCAAAGCTGCTGCATTCTTGACAAACTGGGGGGGGGAATGTGGCCGCGAGCCCTGTGCCGGGGCAAGGGCTCGCTGTGAGTATCGCTTGGCTTCGCCTTGCCCGGAGGCGAGGCCGGGCCACAACCATCGTTCATGCATCATGAACACTGAGTGTCCCTCACGCACGCATCGTAGTCGAAGTCAGGCATGCCACGGTCAAGAATCAAGCGATGGACAAACACACTGCTCATGATGCTCCTGCACAGTGTCGTGTTGTCTGAAGGCCTAGGGCCTAGGGCCTAGGTAATTTCGAGCGTGCGGCGAACACTGAATCACCAGAGCTGGGAGCCCAAAGCTGCCTTGGCGCCACGGTGGGAAAATGCACTTCAGAAGATATTCCGCTCGCATGATGCCGCACTCTAGCCGAACATCATCAGCAAGCCCGTCTAACTTTGTAGCCTTGTATAAGCTGCTGAAAACAAACAGAGGACTAGTTGGAGCTGGGCACAGTTGTATCGCGTTGAGCTCAAAAGCATTTTTCAAAATCAAAGATCCTCAAGAGCTCTTGTTTTCGAGGTGTATTTGGCGCAAGATCTCGCTCAGCAGATTGCGGTCGCATGTTGCCTCGGGGCTTGCAGCCTCAAGCACAGAGAAATAGTATGAATTGGAATCACTCTATGATAGTATTGTTCCATTATCCCAAGTATATGAAGTATTGTATTAATTTTCAAAATAATTTCAAGTGGGTAGTTGTTGATTATAAAGCCCTCCTAGAGCACAAAGCAATCTTCGACCGGCAACCTTTCACCGGTCTGCCCTGTCAGGTCGGAGACCGTTTGGTTTGCAAGGAACGCAAAACCCGGCCGCAGCAAACCTGGACTGATAATTAACCACAAGTTCGACTACGGAACTTCCGACGAGTGCCCTCAGTGACACGTTGCAGGCGCTGGTGGCCCTTGCAAGTGACCAGTTGTCTGTTCGGGCTCATGGCACTGGTATGGGGGTGAAACGTGAAACTGATTGAAACTGGGCACAAACACACCAGAGAGGCAACTTTTGTTCTGCGTATACGTTTGTATGTACCACCATGTGGAATGGGGCCAGGCTTTGGCACAGATCTAGGCTTGAAGAGTATTGGTCTCAAGTCTCAAAGTGCAGACTACGAGAAAGAGAATAGTACGTCATATTAGACATGAAGCGTGTGTGTGGAGCCTCTTGCGTCCCATAGCAGCGCGCTGGGCAGTGCCAGGCATTGGGTGCCTTGCCTACTTTCTGGCGACGGAGGATCGTATTTACAACGCACCTTGCTGGAGATGCCGGGGGGCGGATCCCAATACTTCAAACTTCAAACCATGTATCGAGCTTGTGATGCCTCTGGCGGACCACTCACCCTTGAAGAAGCTCTCATTGTAACTTCTTGAGTAGTGATCCAAATCTACCCGCGCACCAAGCCTGCGTCATGAATCGAGGATGCTGTGACGGCCCAAGGCTTAAGGCCAAAACTGTGACAAGTACTTCCACGTGCAATTCCACGCCGAGGCTTTAATGGGCAAGACGACTCGGTTTTCACGGTCTTCTGCGAAGAACTCACAGACGGGCCCCAAAGAATCCAGGCGGTCTTTTGTTGTGTCGCTGGTCACTCTCATGCGGTCCCAAACGTGTATGCTGGGGTTACACCGACTTACACAAGGGTCCATCTGAAAGGATCGTCGATGTCAACTCAGCTCCCCACCCAATTTGGCTTTCTGCAGGCTGCTCAATCCAACCTTGGCGCTTTTTGGGAATTCTTGACATGGCTACCCTGTAACCGCTGCTCGGCACACATTTCAGCTGAGACCTTCAGCGAGCCAAGGATTAAATATTCGTGCCCCGGTGCACACTGTGCACACTTCGCCAGCACATCCAAGAAACACGTAAGCACACGAACGCTGAGATTCACGCGATGTCTTTGGCTGGGAGCTTCTTGCTTTTCTTGGCCTTCTTCGGCTTCGATGCCTTCAGAGCTCAAGCTGCAACCGTCCCCTGTGCCCTGTGTTTGAATTTCCAACAAATTTCAGATGCACCTGAATCTGAACCTGATTCTGGGATTGCAACACTTGTATCTTGTAGCCCTCTAAAAGTATGGAACGAGGTAGAGAAAAAGCGGACGCAAGAATCGCAGCCGTGACGCTTCGGGCTTGCCAAAACTGTAACATCGAACATGGATGCTGAAGTTGAAGGGGCCAAGGGCTTCGGGTTTTGGGTTTGGCCTCTTGAGCTACGACGTGGCACCATTTACAGTAGTCTCGTACCGAAGGCTTACAGAAAAAATCGTTGCAAGAATCATCCCTTTGGAAACGATAAGTGACACAACACAGCGTTCCCTTGGTCTTTCCTGGTTATTTCAACAAACCGTATCTAAAGCAAGCTCGAAACCAGTAGAAACAGTAGAACTGGACTTGTTGGTTCGCACATGCCGTGCAAGTAGGATACACACGCATGTACACATGTGTGAGTATGTGCGCATGTATGTATGTATGTATGTACGTACGTATGTATGTATGTACGTACGTACGTAGGTATGTATGTATGTATGCACGTATGTATGTACGTACGTACGTATGTGAAAACATGTGTAGGTATGTATGTACGTACGTATGTGTTTTTGCAAGTATGCATGTATGCTGTATGTATGTCAATGAATGTCAATGAACATACGTGTGTACACACATCACACATGCACATGTATGCAGGTATGTGTGCATGTGTGCAAACACTCATGTATGTTTGCGTGCACATTGTGTTTTTTGGCACCGTGTGACTGCACGACCGTGTGCACTGACATAATTCGCACAGATGCATCCAGGCTTCACAACATTGCCACCGCCTCAACCACCTTTAAGCCTAAGGAAAGGCAAGGAATGCACCTTCGTCTCGCGCTGGTCCACAATCTCCTGCGAGACAGCACACCAGCCATCCGCTCAATATGAAACATCCCGTAAGCGTAGCGGATAATAATATTTGAGAAAAGGTGTTGGATAAAAGCTGCTACACAGCCCTACTCGGCATCACGCTTCTCTTCCTGCTCTTGCTGCTGCTGCTGATAGCCTGTGCCGCTCCACGACCAGAAACACGACTACGATTGCGACGACGATACCTGCAATGACGACGGACATCGCGGACTACGACTATGAGAGCTGCGACTATACCACCGCTACCACTGCTACTAATACGTTTAGGGGCATTGCTCGCGCCCAGCGAAAGACACCAAGTCCTAGCAGGCGCAGCGGAGGGCCGGACGGAGCGACCATGGTCCAAATCTTCAGAGTCCCGCGCACCGAACCAACCATATATTCTAGGAAATATACTGCTAGTACTTTACTACTAGTAGTACTACTTGTCCTGCCAGTACTAATACTACTGGCATCACTCCTACTACTACTACGACGACGACTACTACTACAGCACTACTACTACTCCTACTACTCCTACTACTCCTACTACTCCTACTACTCCTACTACTCCTACTACTCCTACTACTCCTACTACTCCTACTACTCCTACTACTACTACTACTACTACTACCACTACCACTACCACTACCACTACCACTACCACTACCACTACCACTACCACTACCACTACTACTACCACTACTACTACTACTACTACTACTACTACTACTACTACTACTACTACCACTACCACTACCACTACCACTACCACTACCACTACTACCACTACCACTACCACTACCACTACCACTACCACTACCACTACCACTACCACTACCACTACCACTACCACTACCACTACCACTACCACTACCACCACCACTACCACTACCACTACCACTAATGTTGACCTACTTTTTATAAATCCCCCCTCAAGTAAAAAACCCCACCCCCGGAACTCAATTATAAATCCCCCCTCAATTACAAAACCTGCCGGCCCAAATCCCCGAAATCAGATACTTCTTGTTCTGTGTTGTTGTGTGTTGGTTGAAAGACAGAGAAAAAGGGAGAGAAACTGCAGCTACTACGAGAGCTTGGGGTCTGCAAAGAGAGAGAAACTGCAGCTACTGCGACAGCTTGAGGTCTGCAGAGAGAGAGAAACTGCAGCTACTGCGACAGCTTGAGGTCTGCAGAGAGAGAGAAACTGCAGCTACGCTTGAGGTCTGCAGAGAGAGAGAGAGAGAGAAACTGCAGCTACTAGGACTGCTTGAGGTCTGCAGAAAGAGAGAAACTGCAACTACTACGACTGCTTCAGGTCTGCAGAGAGGGAGAAACTGCAACTACTCAGATTTAGAGGGCCTCAGAAACCATGCCTTCCTTAATAAAATTCCTTATTCCCGGAGCCAAAAATCAATCCATCCTGATGGAGTACTAACAAAGGCCGTTCTTCGCAATGATAAACCCCCCTCAATTATAAACTCCCGCCGGGGAGGGCCTTTTGCTTTAGAAGCCAAGCCCTTCATTGGGAAAGCTTTAGCTTCCAAAGCCACGGGACTCCGAAACAGCAGATTTAGAGGGCCTCAGAAACCATGCCTTCCTTGATAAAGTTCCTTATTCCCGGAGCCAAAAATCAATCCATCCTGATGGAGTACTAACAAAGGCCGCTCTTCGCAATTATAAACACCCCCTCAATTATAAACTCCCGCCGGGGAGGGCCTTTTGGTGGTGCCTTTTAAGGCCTTGAAAAGGACAGCACGCTTCACAGGCCAAGCCCTTCATTGGGAAAGCTCTGGATTCAAAAGAAAAGCAAGCTGTGGGAGCAGAGTCGTTGACTGGAATAACCTACCTTTAGCAGCCATGCCCTTCCTTGCGAAAGCTTCGGCTTTCAAAGGAGGAGGGAGAGGACAGCAGGATCATTGTTCATTGCTGGTACTTTACCAAACGCGCCTTGTCCGCCGGAAGAGCTGGACTCAGAGGCTGTGCTACTACTGTACTGCTACTGTACTATACTCTGTACTACTGTACTATTGTGATACTATACTACTGTACTACGACGACCGACCCCCCTCAATAATCAATCCCCCCCACCCCGGGCGCCAAATCAATCAAGGGGGGGGAGGGGGGGGTTTATTAATAGGAGGTTGACATTACCACTACCACTACCACTACCACTACCACTACCACTACCACTACCACTACCACTACCACTACTACTACTACTCCTCCTCCTCCTCCTGCTACTACTACTACTACTACTACTACTACTACTACTACTACTACTACTACTACTGCGTGAGGTAGGGAAACTGGTGGTTGGATATAATGCGCTCGCCTCACCGAGCGTCTCGTAGATGAGGTTCTTCACGCCAATACGTAACACGGTTGATTGCGCTGTGCCCTTGCAGAACCCTTGCAGGCAAACTCGTATCCCTTGTTTCCCTCGGCGGGGCAAACCACGGCGAGTTGTCTATGCAGCGGGAAATCCTCTGTCCTCAGGCTCGTAGTCGAAATAGACGAATGGCTGGCAGTAAGTGCGCTACTTACTTTCTAGCCTTGTCACCTGAGCTTATCAGCTCAGTCTTGAGCCCTGAGCTCAATCTTGAGCCCTTGTGCTCTTGAGCCACAGTTGCATAAGCGCGGAGCGGATAAACAAGTCTGTTGCAGCGTTGTCCGCGAGGCGGGCCAACGTGCACAGTTGAAAGTAAGGATTTGGAGATCTGTCCATATAGTGAACATGCGTGATGTATGGTCAGCGAAGCTGGCCCACACACACGTTACATATAGACATGGCTCATAGCTCGACACCGATACCATCAAATTGCACTAGGCATCGAGGTCTGTTCGCACCCCCCATGAGTTGCGCCTTAGGCACTACTCACATACGGAATGGAGCCGCGATGAAAAATGTACTTCTCCGCTGCAACTTTGGTGTCAAAGGGTTGAGGACTTGAGCTTGAACTTCCCAATTGTAGCGTTGTGACACTTGCTACGTCGGTAACGATCCCCCGAAATGACTTGACGAATCAGGCATGCCACCGAAGAAGAAGCGATCATGACGAAGTTGGTGCCATGAAAGTGTCACCTGGGCAAGATGCGCGGGATCTCGGTAGCGATGATCACGATCCCAACGTTTAGCCCATTGACGATTCTGCTCGCGTCGTTGAGGGTCATCACGCTTGCCCTTCCCCTTGCCTTTGTCAGCGACTGTATTGCCGTTGCTGCGTTGTCGACTGTCACTGGCTGCAGGACGACCGGCTTCTGTACGTTCTGCCTCATTCACGGGAGTATTCAAAATGGACGCTCTACCAGCGGACAGGTACTCGTTAGGCATGATGTGGACCAATGCCTATTGTCCACGTTGTGCTTGAGGGTTGTCCTCCATGTCTGCGCGACTTTGCACCAGTTTGTTGAGATACTTGCGCGGCAAAGTGACATCGCTGTCGACCAAGAGTGCAAGCGTTGAAGCTTGTACTTCATTAATGCTGACGCAGTCCAACACGCCGACGGGGTCGATCGTGAAGACGTTGTCCCTCGTCGCCGTCATGGGTGACACGACAGAATACTGAGTGTAGCCAGTGAGGGGCGGAATGACGAAGTGCATTTGCTTGACGTCCATCCCCTGATCACAATATGTCTGGGGGTGAAATCGTCTCGCGAATAACCCATCATCAGAGCACCGCGTGTGAGCATGAAGAGGGTTTGATTGGCCCGTATTTTGCGAAGCAAATACTTCCCTTCTGGATCGTGAGGGTCCTGTCTTTTGATCCCTTCAGCCAGGATTTCCTCATCGGTGAGATCTCGGCAGACATGGGTCTCAGGATCTATCTCCTTTCCAAATTCCGGCCATGTTCCTCTCAGGTCATACCTCAAACCACGCTTGAAGCTCTCTTGCATTGTGTCATACGGCATAGTCAACCAAGAGGTAGCCGCTACCCAATTCTTGCACATGATGCGACCAATGATATACGCCATGTAGGCATAAGTGGCACGACAACCATCGACACACGCTGCTTTCATCTGATTTGGCCGGATAGCAGGCGTCATTGCCGCCAGGGCCATTTGATGATCCGGGTTGATGATGTCGGTTCGGCCTGGAAGTAGCAAAGGTCGTCTTTCTGCGCTTTCCTCTGGCGTGACATTCTCTTCATCAGATGCCATCATTTCTTCGTCAGGTTCAGGCTCGCCCACTGTCTGATTGTCCACCTCCATGTCCGGTTCCGCAACCGTGGCGTTGTCCACAGGCTCGTCCACATCAGGCGTGTCGTCGTCGATGACAATCGGCACCGCTGCAGTTGCTGCCTCCATTGATTGAGCAACCGATCGTGGAACTTCGACTGGGCTTTCCCTTTCGGTCGATTGTTGAAACCTTCCATAGGAAACGAGCGAAGACCAGCATGTGGTACACCTCGACAAGCACGATGGAGTTGTCCTGAAACATGCAGGGCACACCCGCAACGGAATCCCATCATTGGCACCATTCATGCGAATGTTGCCGGGACGATTGTGCCTGATGACGAATTGGATGGCATCACCCATCCGTCTGCTGCCTCCGGTTCGTGAACCGATTGCTCTGCAACTCTTGAATCTGGATCTGCATGGATACCAACTGATCAGAACCGGCGGTGCCGAGATCCGATGGTGGACAAGGTGGTTCTTTCACCCGAACGCCAAGGAACTGAAGACGAACTTTGCCTCCTCCTCTTCTGCTTGCGGCCACTGTGTTACCGTTGAACAGCAATTGCATCCTTTCATTGAGAATCTGCTTCTTGCGCTCGTCATCCGCAACACCACTGGTGTTGTAAGTGATTCTTCGACTGCGGTGTGTCCACAAGAGGTCGTTCATGATGAGGTCTTCGATATGAACCCACCCACCTTCATCGCATCGTATGACTCCTTCGTAGCGATCTCCTCCTAAAGAAGATGCTCGCGGAGGTCGTGCCAGTCGATGTCGAAGGTCGACCTGGATCATGCGGCATGCCCACTTTGCTTCGCGAATCTTTTGTGGTGTCAAATTGTTGAGGATGCAGTAGTCAGTAGCATCCCATCTTGCATGGAAGAACCTTGCACCGTTGAAAGGGATGAGGTCCAGAATTCCTGAAAACGTAAACGGACTTTTCCAACATACTCAGAGCCTGGTAAGTAGCGGAGTTCTGCAATTCACAATGTGCTCCATGAAATTGGGCTCATGCCAAAATCACGTGTTAACACGTGTAAAACTGTTCAAGCAACGTGTGTACAAAGGGCAGGGATGTAATGTTTCATCACCCCGCCTGAGGTTCGTTGGTACACTACCGTACAACTACGAAGCTCACTGAAACTAACGTGAAACTCACTTCCTCACGCCCCGTGCACCGTAAATCTTGGTACACGTAACACGGGCTCTCCATTTTCACAAGCCTGGCCACCGTAAAGGGCATTGGTGACCGCAAATGGCATCATGTTTGCGTGCTCGCATCACGCCTCTCATACTGCCTTCCATGCGGCAGTTCGTAGAACTCCAACTGTATCATTGAATTCTCGTCCCTCAGCGAACGATTCTCGCACCTCAGCTCGTGAAGTGCTCTCTTGTCATCCTTCTGCTCATCCCAAAGAGCCGAACACAAAGCTCCAAGTTCTCGAACTTCAATGCGCTCTCGATTGAGCGCACACCGAGTGCGCACGAGCAAAATGCTCATCGCCACAAGTGCGCATAGAAGCCCACAAAGAATCATAAAAGAAATCACATCATGGCTGCTTGTTGTCGTCGTCGTTGTTGTAGTCGTAGTGGAAGATTCCACCTCCACTCCATGCAAGAGACCGGCCGAAAATGACCCAAGGCTCCAAGCAGCTGTTGCCATAATAACACCAATGGCATACACTGCCCCACGACGGTACCATGGCCCGCCGGGTGTTGCAATGTACAACCATCCATCATCACCACCGTCAGCACCATGCTCTGCTGTACTTTCCATAGCATAAATTGCCATGCACATCGAAACAAGCACTGCAAGAAGGAAGCATGTACTCACGTTTGCAACTGGCACGAAGCTCGCCTCTGCAGGAATCGGCATCATAAGCAAAAGCATCGCCACTCGCTTAACCCAAGTGCTCGACACATTCGTTCCTACCACTGTTCGAACACGCTTGACTTGAGCTCTGATCGATGCCGAAGTGCACGTTTGCTCCCACTCGTTTTCCCCGATTGGCCTGGAGCGGCAGTCCACAAAGTCATGCAGAAATAGTAGCGTTCGCAATCGGCTTGGGGAAAGTGGCTTAGTGTGAAGGTCTCCTAAGTTGAAGTGGGTCGAGATGTACTTCATGACCAGACGTTTCTGCTGCACAATGTCTTGTAACCATAGTAGCCGGCCCTCAAAATGCTTGCTAGCTTTTGTAACTCCCTGACGCAAACAGAAAGCTTTGCAAGACTGGTTGTCAACATACACGATCAAATCGCAGGGGCTCCGGCTCATAAACTCGATCACAGCCTTCATGAACAAGCCCTGGCACGCGCTTCCCACAGCACTGTAGTACTCACTTTCCATCGAACTCAGACTGATGCACTTCTGAGATCTACAGATGTAGTGGACATATTGTCCATTCACACAGAAACTTGCTCCACCATATGATCGGCGATCCTTCTTCGACCCCGACCAGTCAGCATCCGAAAACACTTCCAACACAGTACGCTCGGCGTCGTCTGCACACCCAGAATCATACACATGACTGTTCAGCTTCCTTGTCCAAGGAGCTGCAAACTTCATCAGGATCCCATAATCACTTGTGTTGATGAGGTACTGTATCAGCTTGATCAAACCAACCTTTGCATGCTCCGTCGGCCTCGCCATGTAGCTCGCAAGCATGCGCACAGCATAGCCCACATCGGGCCGATCACACGATATGTATAAGGCTGTTCCCACTGCTTGTCGAAACTTGCTTGCATCGGTGTGGTTGAGCTCACGGGTGGTCAACCCGCTGTCGGTTGTTTTGCGTGACATTCATGGTCTGCTTCATCTGCTCAATGTAAGAAGAGGGCTGGCAAATCACAATCCCCTGATCTGTAATTGTATGCTCACGCTTGAGGAAACTGAAGGAATGACCCACCTCGTATGCAAGCTCGTATGTGATCTGGAACCTTTGTTCAATCACCGGAAGAAGGCACTCGCGGGCCCCCGGGAGCGGCAAAAGAAGTAAAGAATCATCAACATGGATCATGCCCGGACCCTTGTCTGCACAAACTCCATCAGATCCTGGCTTGCTGCTGACGTGCACTACCGCAGGGCACTCCTTGCAATTTTCAACCACAAAGTGTTCTCCGAGATACTCGCAGAAGTGAGAAAACCACTGTTGTGATCCTTCACGTTGCCCCGGCACCATTCGCATGAACACGAGGTCCTGACCTTGCACTTTGGAAACCACCGGGGTCGGCTGCGGAACCTCAAGGTAAGCGTCTTTCACATCGAGCGCCAAAATGGCGTACTGCTCAGATGGTCGCGTCTGTTTCCAAGCCAGCCACTGCGCCGGGATGAGGCGCACAATGTCAGTGCTCGTAGCAGGGCTGAATAGCCCTTCCTTGGACTCATCCAACCACCGAAACTCCCGAGCACAGAGTCTGGATCGGCGGTACCACGAAGGATTCCCATTCCGCTTCTTGCGCCGCCACGTTCGAACAAACTTTGTAGTGAGGCTCTTCATCGAAGCCAAATCATCATCACTCGTCGCATGTCTCAGCACAGACTTCTTCAGCAGTCTGCTGACCTCAACTTGGTCACCGAGGTTGTCAAGCTCGGCCAAAATGGCATCATCGAGCTCTGGCTCCCTTCCATTGTCGGGAAACCACAATCTGTCATCATCTTCGGCCACCTCCGCTTCGGGGTCGGCCTTGAACTCATTCGTGAAACTGTCGTCCGTCTCGGACTCCATGGACCAAAGCTTGGTCTGCACTTCCCAGCCGTCAGGCTGATCCAAATCAAACTCACCTTCATCATTCACCTCGTATGACTGCTCACCAAAAGTCACAGCACGAATGCGCAGCTTCTTCAACGGTGGCAGTTCAGCTTCAGGCGTGCTGGGAGGATCGGGCCTCATAGCAGGATTGGGCCCTGGAGGCTCAGCTTCAACACCAGCCATGCTCTCATCTGGAATTGCTCGAGCACTTTCAGGAGGGGGCACATTGCGCCTCGGAGGCGCCATTGCTCCGGCCCTGCCCAACGGCGTAACCGGCATCCCAAGTGCCTCAACTGCAGGTGTTGGTGGTTCACTCGCAGCCTCATCAGGGGACCTTGGCGGTGCAACATCCCGCACTGGGTCCACAACAGGACAAACTTGGTGCCTATAACACCGCTTCCATAGCCCCACGGATAGCCTTTCAGCTCACGATAGAGCTGAACTTCAAGCTCCCAAGGTTGGCCCACACGCCTGATGGATCGTGACAGCCGGATTCCATCCTTGCCAGCAATGATGTACATGTCGTTGAGCGAGGATTTGCTCACCAGGATTCCAAGCATCCACCGCTTGTCCCCTTTCTGCTTAACATCAAGCTGGAAGTAAACCGGTTCGGCGAACGGCGCAATTCGCCCACTGTACTTAGCCCCACAGGCCCTTTCATAAGCTGTCATGTTGCCGATGACTCTGTATCTGTTTAGCAGCCACGCACTATGCACAAAAGCCCAGGCAAACAGCACATGCGTTGTAGGCAGTGAAAGGCCGGTGCGGTGACGGGCCTGATCAAGCAAAGTGTTTGCAAGCTTCCGCACTGAGTCAATGGCCTTCTCACAAAAGCCTAGGGAACCTTTGGCACCTATAGCAGGATTCTGCACAAGCGTCTGCAACCCGAGCCGTTGCCGAGCCGTGACGATAGCTCGCTGCAGGGTCAAAGTAGAGGGCTCGTTGTCGCACTTCAGGGTCACGGTGGTGTGACCGAGGCTTTGGATGAACCTCATAAGCTCAATGCCTAAATACCTTGTATCACCTTTGGACTCACATGGAATCGCTGCAATCATTCCAGTAGCGCTGTCGTGCGCCACAAGACACTTGAGTGCACGTTGGGAGTCCTCGGGCGCAGCATCGAGGTTGCAAATCCCACCCGGCACACTGTACCCTGAAAATGAAAAATCAAACTGGATAATCGGGTTGTCGCGGGGGCCCTCCTTCAAATACTCACTTCGGTCTGGCATCGCCCGCATGCTGGTGCAATGTGGGCACCACGGCTTGAAAGGCACATGAGTGCGTTCATGAAGGAATCGTTCCGCCTCAGCGGGGGCGGCTGCGACCGGCTGAACCCTCGGTTGCCTCTCACCTGAAGACTGGGCATCGGCAGCAAGCTCTAACTCTAAGGCCAAACGCTGCTTCTCAAGATATCCCTTGACACGGTTGAAGAGACGGGACTTGGAGCCGGCCGTGCTGAGGTTGAGCTTGGCTGCTGCAGTTTTCAAAACAGCTAGGCTGGAGTCATGCGACATGAGCACACCATCAAGAGTCAGCGGTTCGACATTGCCGGCTGGCACTCCAGCTTCCAACTGGTCGGGCAGTGCCATTGGCGCTGGGCTCGATTGTCCAGCTGCATCCTCTAGGCCTTGCATAGCCTCATCTTCAAGTACCACACGATCATGCTCAACTGTCCCGACAGGCGCTTGCTCAGTCTCTGCTCGAAAATGATAAAAATCTGGTTCTGGCAGACCTTGCGGTTCGGTCATGCCTGCAGGGAGCTGCACACCTATCTCAGACACGGGCTCAACCTGCACGTGCAAAAATGAAATAACCTCGGCAACCTGACCTCCGGGCAGAACTGCTTCAACCTCCTTCAAGTCAGCCCACGGCACGCAGTGTTCAAGCAGAAACCATGTCCCACTGCGGCAAATGAGTGTGCTCCTGAGAGGCCAACCGATCGGCGCCATGAAACTCGGACCCACGAACCTACTTGCGCGACCTCTCCACACCAGGTGCCCAGACGAACTGACTTGCCATCCGAAATCGAGAGACTCAAGTGTCTTGGCCTCAAAACGCACCTGAATGGACGCAACATGCAACTTGCTGGGGCACACTTCACGGACCTCACCTGTGACCTGAAGCTGGGACTGACTGCATGCGGCATCACAGACCTGTTGGCTGTCGGCATCACGGACCTGTTGGCTGTCGGCATCACGGACCTGTTGGCTGTCGGCATCACGAACCTGTTGGCTGTCGGCATCACGAACCTGTTGGCTGTTGGCATCACGGACCTGCTGTTGGCTGTTGGCATCACGGACCTGTTGGCTATCGGACTGTCGAAGTCCTGCGTGGAGCTCACCCTCGCTCGCTTCATCATCGGAGTGGTTGTTGACCTCACCTGCACCTGGATTGTAGTGCATCAAGTCTGGCTCCTCACGCTCTACACGGCAAATCTGTGCATTCACTGCCAAAGAGTAACCTTTGAACATCAAGGGCACCTCGGCGCCACTCCGTGGGTGGCGCAAGCACATAGGACCTGCGCCTGCATTGTCACCTTGGCCTTGGCGAATGGGCCACCATCCCTTGCGCATGAGCCGTCCAAGGCTCAACAGTGGTTGGGTGACATTTGCAACAATGCATCGCTCGCGAATAACAACGGGCTGGGGCCCGCCAAACAGCACGAAATCCACCAAGCGCTCGGCTTGAACATGCATCGCACCTCCTTGGGCATCTTGCACCTGCAGCGGCCTTGCACGAGCGGCACGGCCACACGACTGGAAAGTCTCAGGGATGCACGAGATATCGGCTCCCGAGTCAATGATCACACACTGGCCTGCACTGGTCACTGCTCGAACACACGCAGTAGCAGGACTCGGCACCAAGTCAAGCACAGCATAGTCATCGGGAGGCAGAGTCCACTGGCCATCATCACCCTGGGCATCCATAGCATAACTCTGTGGCGCAATCACAGTAACCATACAGACATTGGGCTCATAAGGCAACGGATCCTCCAGGTCAGACATGTCGAAAAGAAGTGGCTCAGCCGCAACGCGGCGAACGGTGGACTGTCCTGCCTTGCCTTGCTGGGCTTGAAGGGCACTCGCGGAAGAAGGGGCAGTCGTGCTCGTGCCGGCATCGGACGCTGCAGAAGAGTTGGCCTGAACCTGCCGGGCACCTTTCTGATGGCCTTGCATGTAGGCCTTGAGCTGGAAGCAATCTCTCTTGTAGTGCCCTGGCTTCTGGCACCAGCTACACACGGAGGGCCAATTGCCCTTTGGATGGCCGCCTTTGTCCTTGCCTCCCTTGCCCTTGCCTTTGTCGCCTTTGCCTGCATCGCCTTTGCTGCCTTTGGCCTTGCCTTTGCCGTCTTTGCCTTTATCGCCTTTGCCTTTGGGCCTGCCTTTGCCAGCTTTGCCTTTGTCGCCTTTCGCGTTCACACGGTCTACTTCCATCGGCGCAACATCGCCGGTATCATGCAAACCTTTCTTTCCATCGCTCAGCCCATAACTCGAAGCAACACTGGTTTGCCACTTGTGCCACTTAGTGTTAGCTCCATCCCAACGCAGCACAAGCTCACGGAGGTCACTGTATGAGCTGTCATCAGATACGACTACATTGGCATGCTGACGAAGCTGCCTTGTCAGGCAACTGAGGAGCGTGGCCATCTTGTTGTTCTCGGGAAGACCACCTGGCTCGAGGCGCTCATACTCCTCAAAGGCGCTCTCTAGGCGCAGCAGTTGCTGGGCAAGACCTTGTTGAGCCGCAAAGGACGGCCAGCTGTTGATTGTGCGCAACAAAGCTAAGACGCGATTGCGGGTCTTTGGCATGAGATCTTTACTGAGCAGTCTCCATGCCTCAAATCCATTCTGCTCCTGAACAGATCGCAGCAGTCGCCGGCCACGCTCATACAGTAAGCCATTCAACATGCCGTACAGTAGCCGAGACCGCCGCTTGGCACTCTCATCCAAAGAACTCAAAATCACTGCTGTCTGCTGCCGGCCGTAATCACGAAGCTCACTGCTGAACTCAGGTTCCAAGCACGATAAATACTGTTCAAACGTCCAGCTCCACTGAGTCCATTGCGCAAATTCCTCATCTCGCGTAGTGGGCCGGAATGGATCCGGCTTCGGCAACACCTTGGTAAGGTCTCCAACTCCCATAGGTCGGGAACCTTGGGCAGTGCTTGCAAACGCGGCGGCTTGAGCAGCCGGCAGCTTGTGTAGCCTCCGACATGCGTTGCATAAGGACTCTCAGGTCGGCAGCTGTCATAGCAATCTCAGTTCCAGCATTGGCGGGGCTCGTTGGCTGAAAAGGATTCGTAGGCGCTGGTTGTGCAAAAGGCGCAGGACCAATTCCGTGCGCTGAGGCGGTGGCTCCAGAGGGGCCTGTGAGCTCCTCATCTGTCTCATCACCAAGATTCGCCATTGCTCTGTTAGCAGGGCAATCAGTCAATATCAATCACCTCCTTGCAACTGTTCAAACAAAGATTGGCACCAAATGTGCGTCGGGGCTCGGGCCCTTGCACATCGATCGGCTGGCCCGGAGGGGCCTGCAGTTCGGAGAACGCGGCCTCACTCGAAGCAGCACCTGTAGAAAACTGAAAGCTTCCAAATCTCGCTCGAACAACTCGCGCTCGTCTGTCGCAAAAACTGTGTTTGGATCAAGGCTTCAGGAATTGCTTCTTCACACACGTCGTCAACTGCAAAGAACCGGAAAACTTCCTTGAGGTGGCTGTCCTTCAAACACCGGTGGGCAAAGTCCCACACCTGTTGAGTAGTTTCCAGAGAAGCCAAGTTCGCCTCCAGCGAAAGTTGGGCGGTACTCAAGATATTCTGCCACCCTTCAGCGGATCTGCCAGAAGGGCATTCACGCTGCAGCAGTTGCTCAAGATGCAATTCTGTGACTCTGGCCTTGATGGCCTCCAGCGAAGCCAAAGAGGCAGCCGTGCTGCCGAGAAGAGGCGCGAGCGGATCGGGGCTGAAGGTGACCACACACCTAGGCCCTCAACGCCAAAAGTCAGAAGAGAAAAGTTCAAGCCCGATGGCCCCTGAACAGGACCCAAAGAAGGTTCACGTGTCTCGAAGCTGGGTCGGCCCAGCTCCGCTACCATGAAAACGTAAACGGACTTTTCCAACAAACTCAGAGCCTGGTAAGTAGCGGAGTTCTGCAATTCACAATGTGCTCTATGAAATTGGGCTCATGCCAAAATCACGTGTTAACACATGTAAAACTGCTTGTACAAAGGGCAGGGATGTAATGTTTCATCAATTCCACCACGAACACGTTCGCCCATACATCTGTAGGCTGAGTTGTCCGGGTACTTCGGGGTGTCTCCTCGTTGCGGCAGTCGACGATCCCGATGACTTGCGCGTTCATTGATCAGGTCGAAGGCCTTTTGTTCATCTTGAGGGCCTTCCTCCGAAATCTCTACTCCACATACCAACCACTTGCCTCGGCGGTTGCCAATGTCATGAGCGAGAAGATGATGATTGTCGTACATGATAAGCCGCCATTGGCTTGGAGCAACTGTCCTGCCGGGGCGAGGTCTTGCCTTTGCTCGGGGTCGATGTCCTGACGATGCATTGCTGGCTCCGTCATCAACGTCCATGGCAGTACGTTGTGGCGTACCTGGTTGCCCAGATCCAGTGTCCATCCGCGTCGCCGAGTTCCTTTTCGGATAGTCGAGCATAGAGTTGAGCATGATCTCAAGGCCTTGTCGAACTATGCTCGCGGGTTGCGTGTTGGGGCAATCGTTCACGGCGTGCCTTGGATCACCGCATGCTACACAAAACGTGAGCATGCGATTCTCGACATCCACTTGACCTGTCTGAAGGGTCGTGAGGTTCTCGACAATCTGCATTTGGAGACGAGTGTGGATCGCCTGGAGATCAGTACTAAACGGATCACCACTTTCATCACCAGATTCTCGTTCTTGCTCTTCGACTTGCTCTGGCACAGGAGGTGCAACAGCTGCTTCTTCAGGTTCCCCACTGCCTGTTCCACCGACTTCCGAACTGAACCCCCCAGGAACTGGATGGATTTCGTCGTAGTCCATGATTGCATTGTACTCGCAATTCATGTTGTAGGTGAGGTTGGCAATGAATTCCTCGATCTCCTGCTGGCGTTTTGGGGGGTTTCTCTTCCGTGGAGAAGCAGCGGTGACCAGTTGTATGGCCTCAGCCGACGCATACCTCCAGAAGGAACGTTCAATCCCACGAATACAAGCATTGGTCTCCCGAACACCACCCCAATTTGGAAAGTGACTTGGGAATCTCGTAGCCAATGTCAGTATACCAAGCGCCAACTCCAGGGTGTCGCCGAGCATTTCCTCTTTCACGTTCTCAACGTTAAGCAGTTGAACCCTTTCTTCGCGCGTCAGCAAGATCCTCATAAATCCAGCGTAGGCAGCGTTCCCAGCGTCGTAGTAACAGATGTAGCATAGTTCGCCATCCTTGTTGTGTGCACGATCCCAAGACAGTTGCTTTGCTTTGCCACAAGTCGCGTACTCAATCGCCTGAGTCACGGTCAACCGTAGTGCTCCGTAATGGGAAATCACCTTGCCGTATTCATGATAAGCGATGGGTGCGCACTTCTTGATGAACTCGCAAATGTCAAAAGAAGGCTTCTTCTCAAACCGAAGAACGGAATCATAGGCGTACACAGCACAGGCCAGCGAATACTTCTGGTACTCCACGTACTGGTCGTAGTTCTGAAAATGAGATGTAAGTTTGAGGGCTGCGGTGTGCGCACATCCAATGCAGTGGTTGGGGTAGCCGTTCCCGCAATTGGAGAACTGGGCTGTCGCAAACTGTTCGGGGCGTTTCATCCCCTCACATCCGCTGCAATAGAACGTCTTGCCTTTGGCAGGAACAGTGTTCTGGGAAGAATACTTACTCATCGATCTAGAACCAGTAATGGCGTTGATCGTGGTAAGCTTCGAAGAGACCTCCCTCCCAGTGTCCCAGCAAGAAAAGACAGAGCCCCCCGAGCTTCCAAAAAGAAGAGTCCTCTATCTCAACAAGATGAGACTGAGAGCTTCCTCCGATCCACTGGGACTGAAGAGAGCGCCATCTCAACAAAGCGAACAGGCCCCTCCAATTTCATGAGAACTCAGAGGTCCCCGTTTACCCATCGGTCGGCAAGAAGAAAAATCCTTCCTCTCTTGATCACGGGATTGGATCCTTATTATTTCCTTTACCCTCTCAGAAGATGGAAGAGAGCATACGCACAAGAAGAAGAAAACTCCGTTTTCTCTTGGCAAAGGAAAGAGATCCTGATTATTTCCTTACCTTTTCCTTTCCAGAAGGAAAAGGGCAGACCCTCAAGAAGAAAGGGTGGAGATCCCCCCCAACCCTCAACGAGAACACGGAGAGAATCCCTCCAAGTCATTCAGTTGATTTCTTGATTCTGGCAGAGAGTCCCTCTACCTCTTGGTAAGTCTCCATCTCCTGGGAAAAGATATGAAGGGAGCTCGCTTCTAGTCGAAGAAGACAATGCTCAAAGCTCCTCCAGTTTCAAGAAGACGAACGAGAGGCAAGAGAGCTCCCTTACCTCGTCATCGGCAAGTAACAAGCTTCTTTTCCCTCTATGTGCAAAGAAGAAATCCCTTGGCTGGTCCTCTGCCGCAGCATCTCAAAAGAGCAGAGAATCCTTCCAACTTCAAACAAGATGAAAGAACTCCGGTTGCCTCTTCGTGGACAACGAGAGAAAGGAACTCCTTGTCGTCCCCGCTCCCTCCTCAAGGGATAGAAGGGATATCTCTTGAGAAACGAGGACAGAGCTCTCCCGGGTTTCAAAAAAGAGTCTGAGCCTCTCCTCAAGCTTCAACAAGACACGAGCAACCTTTTTTTCATCCCTTCAATTAACAAAGAAACCCTTCTAAGTTCACGACAAATCAGAGAACTCGGGTGAGCCTTAGTCGACAATAAGAAAGAGGAGTTCCTTGTCGCCCCCTTTTCCTCTTCACAATCTCTTCCTCTTGGAAAACATTGAAGAGAGCTTACGATCAAAAAGAAAGGATGGAGCTTTTCCAAATTTCAAACCTTGACAACATAACGGCTGGTCCTCCCCACGGCTTTCAAAAGGAAATGAAAAGCCCAGACCTTACCATGTGGAAACAGGAAGAAGCTCACTCCAAGTTATTCTTGGCAAAAGACAAGAGCTTCATTCTAGCAGAGAGAGCCTTTACCTCTTGATACGTCACCTTTATCTTACGAAGGTCGAAGAGACTTCGCTCCTATCAAGAGAAGCCAGAGCTCCGCTAGCTTCAAAAAAGAAAAATCTTCTACCTCACCCTCGAAAAAAATCACTGAGAGTTTCCTCCTTTCTAGCCCCCAGCCCGGCCCCAAGGGTTCTGGATGGATATCTATATATATATATATATATATATATATATATATCGTCACACCCCCCCCCATGATCCATACCATGCTCTTTTCTACCTGCTGCTGTTCATTATTTTATTTCCACATGACTTCACCTACATACAAAAGCAACGGTATTTGCGGTGTTTTCTGCACTTCATTTCTATTTAACACTACATTTTATAAGTTGTTGTCACATGTTACATACCCACGAAACCCGAAACGGATTCTGATCTCACTTTCGCTGCTACTCGTTTTTGTTGCTTTGCGTCAAGTGAGAACCACCGGAATCCCAAAACGGATTCTGTTTGCAATGCCGCGTTGCGTAGCTAGCGTACCTACGGGTTGTTTCTGGCTAGTTCAGGGAACCAGCCAGCGGAAGGGTTGTTCCTTATCTTTATCAATGGCCAGAAAAAGGGAGTTCTTATGTCAATGACTAAGCAGGATGCTTCTTCCCTGTCCCTTCAAACAATATGAGAGCATGCCTGCATCTCTTGATGTTGCGTAAACCAGGACTCCACTATGTCTTACTTGAAGTTGAACATGTTTCAAAGTTTGTCGAACCTCTTTTTCTTGTTCTCATACGACATATGAACACACACACACACATCTATGTATACCTGCTCTTTCTGTTTCCTAGGACAAAGATTTATCTGGAGAGCATTCGTCTCTCCTCTTTGTGTAAGAAGCAAAGACCACTTGGTTCATGCAGCCCAAAAGCCGGCCAGACTCCTTCGGGCCATAAATCAAGAAAGATGTTACATCGTTCAACAAGACATGTACTGGCTCCTGTCTTCTCACCTTAGCCTCAGAACAGAACAGGACACCCTTCTACATTTCTTTGGGCTTTGGAAAGCTGCAAACGCAACCGTTACATGTTGAGCACAGCTTATCTTACGGAACATTAGTATCTCACGACCTGGGATATTTATGTATGTAATACACGTAGATTTTGTCCAGCGCTTTGTCTCCTGTGAGATGCATTGTAGTAATAAGGAAGCCTTCCCATCTTCATATAGCAAAAGAAGTTTTTCTGTCTCTCAGTATTCAGGACACAGAAGAAAGCCGAGCCTTGTCCAACCATGGGCAACAACAAGACAGCCTTCTTCAGTTGATAGCCAAAAGGACAATAGCATCCTTCTGTGAGCACAACATGTGAAAGTTTCTTTATCTCCCTTCGGTAGTGCATGAAGCACTATAGTTTTAGCGAGAACGGTTTGTACACATGATTAAAGCCTCGCCAAGATCGAAAATTCAACCAACTACTAAAACCAATAACAATAACAGTTATTCATATAATATTGCTACTGTCACAGTTGCGAATCATACTAGTGTTGCTAGTGTTATCACTACTACTATTTGTTGTTCATCTTGTTCCAGATTGCTTACAAGCCGCCAGGTTTCAATGTCCTCAAAATTTGTAAAGCATGAAATGCAACACGAAACATGCGCAGACACACACACACACATCGTAATGAAACACAATGCGAATAAACAACAACAGCAACAACAACAACAACAACAACAACAACAACAACAACAACAACAACAACAACAACAACAACAGGTAGTGAGTATAAGTGGTATTCCACCGACACTGTTATTACTGCCATTGTTATGGTTTATTATTTATACCACTGCCACTACCACTACTACCACTACTAGCACTAACACCACTACTACCATTGCTACCACTACCACCACTACTACAACCACAAATACTACTGCTACTACTACTACTACTACTACTACTACTACTACTACTACTACTACTACTACTACTACTACTACTATACTGCTGCTGCTGCTGCTACTACTACTACTACTGCTACTACTATGACGACAAGCATCTCGGCTGTGAAGGGGGCACGGAGCCCCAACAAAGATAGATAGGTTTGCTCCGAGCAATAGAGCGACGTTGCTGTCAGCCGTGCCAAGTACTGATCACGAATTTCCGGCTGGATAGCAAACGGCTCGCATGAGCCTCATCTTCGCTCTGCTCAACATATGTGTGATTGGCTCGGCGCTGAGCCAACCGAGGAGCCAGGCATCTGGATACCGAACCATAACAAAATCAGCCTGGATTATCCGGCAGAATACGCTCGGGAACTGTTTGGGCGACCCCAACAGAGGCTACAATTTCATAAGGCACTGGAACAGTCTATGTTGGCTGCCTCCAGAGCCTTTGGTGGCTACATCGAGCACTTATGCTTTTTCAACAGCTGGAGCATGCAGTGGACAGAAGATGCACATCCGGGAAGATCTTTGCAAGCAGCTAGGCAATCGCAGTTCCCTCCACAAGAATATGAACTGTACAAATGGTGTGCACTGTATTACCCGGATTGGGTACCTCATTTCTGGCCTCGAGGACCTCCACCCAGACCTGAACAATATGATCTCAACTCTATGGACTAAACTCTGCAGGCCAATGGACTCACATTCGGCTCAGGGTCGAGGTACCTGTGGAAGAAAATGGAGGTTCCGTTTCCCTCCTTCCAGACCCAGGCGCCGCCGCAGAAGACGTCAGCAATATAGGCGAGTGTACGGTTGCACTGCAATCTTCAGGCGACTTATGCATGTGCTCGCTCGATCCCTGATCATCACGTGCCCCCAGCCAATTCCTGCACTGCAGTTTCTGACAGTGGCTCGCAAGATATACAATCACATTCTGCAGTGTAATGGCTGTCGGGCTCACAGGAGCGGATCGCATAGGGAAGACGGGGACACTACCCACCTAGGACTGATGGGAGACTCTGAAGTGCACTCTGAAGTGCACTCCTCGGATACGGAGGAGATAGTTCGCCGAATGCCTGCGGAAGAAAGAGACCAGATGGAGAGAGCACCCGCACCGACGACACCGAATGGAACCCCACTTCCTCGTGGTCCACCGCCACCCAGGCCAGTTCAGGAGCAGCGCTGGATCTCCCACATTATCTCCGCGGCCGTGGGACAGGCACTTCTTGAGCAGGGCGTCTATCTACAAGAGGCTTTGACCTACCTGCCAGGCAACTGGCAATACCTGGATGCCATCACAATCAGTATCTCCCCTATGACGCCGGCAGCCTCGTACCACCCCAATGTACTCAGCTTCGACGAGGACCCGATCCCTGAGGAGGCGGAAGCGGAGCACCCTACGGAGGATGCAGAGGTCGATGAGGCCACTTCGAACCCCACGGTAGCACCCACAACGGCATCTACGGCTGCGACAGGGCTTGCTGCTGGGAGTGCCACGACAACGGGCGCTGGTGCATCATGGCCTAGTACCTCAGCAGAAGCCAAGCCGAAGACCAGGAAGCGAGGACCCTACACTCTGCAAGTGTCTCGCAAATTTTGTCTTGTGTGTGACCCTAACCTCCGTTCTTTAAGTGCACTCTCTCGCCCAGGCGGGCACGCACATCTGAGTAGTGAGCTCTTTCGGATTCACAGGCTCTTCCACATGTGCAGAGAGCTGATGCACAAAGTGCTTCTAGCAGCAGTTTGGCTGCGCACCGCCACGATGACAGATCTGCTGAACAAAAGCCTGACCGAGTATTCTGCAGTGATTGTCTTTGAGAACGGTGATGCAATCGTATGCTACAAGCAAATTCCTCATCTGGCCAGGTACTCTACATGGCAATGGACTCCTTCGGCAGGTGGCTTACCACAATCGCTTATCGTTGAAATGATCCTCCTGCTTCTCTTGCTGCATAGGCTGTACTTCTTGCACCACACCCATGGACTACATGTACGGGCCCACGAGGCTTCCCTCAGCTATAAGAAATACTACCCTGCAGTCATCCTCGATTCAGGATGGTGGACTACTTCATCTACAGATGAGCAGTGTACGGCAGATGCCGAGGCCCAATCAGCAGACCATCACTATTCAAGATATGCAGCACACCCACTGTCCGGAACGCATGCTGAAGGTCTTTCCTTTGCAACCAGCTCAAGGAGGTGCAAGTGGCATCTTCATCTTCAGGCACGATGGTCGTCTTTCCGGAAGAGATTCTGTGACTCCTCAGCAGGACCTATCATCATCAAATCCAGCCGGGTCGGTCCCAAGTCCGACCGTGCTCGCGGAACGACACCCAGGACACGAACAGTCATCGGCATTTTTCTTGTAGTCCTGTGGTCAATGTTTGTACCAAGTCAAGCCGCGGGTACAGATGTGAGGGTTGACGTCGATCCCACTAGGACGTCTGGAGCCAACTTGGCGAAGCATGTGGGTTATCGGGAGGCGCAACAGCCCATTCACAATCATGAACTTAACAGCTGTGCTAAACGCACATATCGTAGGGCGTATGCCAGGGCTTGCAGAGATGGAGGAGCCTTTTATCGAGGCCAATGGCGAGTGCATCAATGGTTCAGACCGGTAGCAATCCAGACCAAACAGCTGTCCGGCGCACGAAGGCCCTCGACTCCGCGCACATCTCTGAGAATCCTCACCTGGAACGCAGGCGGCTTGCATTCTCAGGTCTTCCGAGAATTAGAGACATACTTGGAAGATTCTGCTATTGACATATGCATGATCCAAGAGACCAAATGGTCTTTTGATGGCAACTGGTCCACTCCTGGGTTCCATTATCTGCATACGGCAGGCGAGGCCAAAGAAGACAAAGTTGGTGGCCTCCTCGTCGCCATCTCGACCAAGATAGTCTCGCACTCCAAGGATATCCAGTTTCATGCAGTACATCCGGGTAGAATCTTCCATGTAAGGGTCAATCGCAAACAGCCGCTCGACATTCTCAACCTCTATCAATACACGGCCAATGACAACAAGCTCACGCCTGAAAGGAGAAGCAAATTTCTTCGACAACTACGACATACTCTCCAAGGCCTTCCCACACGACACACTTTGATCATGGGAGGTGATCTCAATACTACATGTACCCCCCTCGACAAGGTTTGTGGAAAATGGGTCATGCCGAGCTCGGACGCGCATAACAAGGACCCAGAGGACCTTATGGCGATCTTATCGGTTCATGCGCTCACTGTCCTCAACACATGGAACAGGCCGTCACATGGTCAGCTAGAAACGTTCACCTTCGGACAGCTGACATCACAAATTGACTACATCGTCACTCGGCAGGATCAAGCAACACACAGTGCCAAACAGGCACAAGTGGTTTATCCTTTTCCCGTTGCAGCGTGGAGAGAAGGGGCGAAGCACCACCCAGTGCTCTGCCAGATTACCATCCCAGACTACAGATGGCCCAAGGCGACCACCTCAACAATTCCCAAAGTTGACACTCAGCAGCTGATCCTCGACCTAAGGTCCAAGGAGCCACCTACGGCACTACAACATCTTCGCGCCGAGGTTCACCAAGGCATTCAACAACAAAAATGGTCGACACTACAGCAACTTGAACATGGCATGCTTCAGGTGGCCCACGATCACTACCCTCTACGACATCAACAAGCGGAAGAAAGGCCAGAACACCAGCAGCTTGCACATTGTGCTCGTCGTATGTGGGCTCTTTTCAGGGACATGCGCGCTCATCCTTTCAGTGCACAAGGAGTGTTCAAGGCCTGGACCCAATGGACCAAGTTCGTACAGGCACATCGGGAGCATAAACAACGTGCTAAGCTGCGAAGTAAGGCCAGAAAGCACGACCTCCTGGCCAAGGCGCAGGAAGCTGCCTCACAAGGCAACATGCATCAAGTTTGGCTGGTGGTCAAAACCTTAGCACCGAAGAGTAAACGAAAACCACTCCAACTACGCAGAAATGGCCACATGCTGACGCCAGAGGCCGAGCTCGACTGGATCATTGAAGAGTTCGGTGCTAGATATGGAGCAAGACAGGCGCCATCTACCAGCATAGCTCGTGAACACCCACCTCTACAAATACAGGAGTGCGAAGTGTGGCATCAGCTGGAGCGACTTCCCCTACGGAAAGCAGTACCGCACACAGCTGCACCTTCGGTTATCTGGAAAGCTTGCTCCACAGAAATCACCCCGTTCATCACTCACCAGGTCAATCAAGCATGGAGCCAGGATGAACTCATCATTGAGCAGGACTGGGCGGATGCGACGGTTGCCCTACTTCCTAAACCACAAAGCAAGAATGATACTCCGAAAAGCTGGAGGCCCATAGGTATTCAGCACCCACTGGGCAAAGGAATCATGGGCATCGTGATCTCGAGAGCAAAACTTCAAATACATCAACTGGTACAAGCTTATCCGCAAACAGCTTACGTTCCTCATCGTAGCACACACACCGCGCTCAAGCGGGTCTACTCACACTGTTCTTATGTGAGACAACAGGCAGCACTGCACCGACTCACCCCACATCAACAACAGGCGGGAGCAAACAAAGTCTCCAGCAGTGGAGGACTACAAATCAGCATGGATCTTTCTTCAGCTTTCGATCTGGTCTCTTGGACCTCGATCAAACAAGCACTCGAGTTGGCACATGTGGATCCCTCAGTTCAAGAAATACTGTTACTTTGGCTCAGCCAAGTTCGGTACATTTTCAGGCATAAAGAGCATGAGAAGGACATCTGGCCCTCCTGGGGTCTCAGACAAGGCTGCGTGGGGTCGCCAGTCCTGTGGGCAGTCTTTACCGCCCTCCTGAATCAGGCGATTGATTTACGACTTCAAGAACAATGGTGCCGAGACCACGCGACACTGTATGCGGATGATACACACTTGAGGTGGACATTCAGCACGATTGCAGAGTTCGACCAAGTGATGAATGAACTCAGATGCACATTTGCTGTTTTCAGGAGGCTTGGCATGCAGGTCAACAACGAGAAGACCAAGGCCATCCTCTCAGTCACAGGACCCATCAAGCATAAAATCCACAAACTGTACATCCGAAAAACAGGCAAAGAACGACATCTTCTTCTTTCTCCTGGAGATCCTTCACAATGGCTGCCACTTGTGGACCAGGCGGAGTATTTGGGACTCATCATCTCGTACACCAACTTCGAAAAGCAGTCTGTGAAACACCGGGTAACCAAGGCCAATCATCGCAGATGGGCACTGGCATCAATTTTACATACCCGAAGGGTGTCCATTGCCTACAAATTGCAACTGTGGCGCAGCTGCGTGCTTTCTACCCTCATGTACGCTCTTCACTGTCTATGCCTCAATTCAGGTCACATCCACACCCTGCAGAAGACCATCATGAGACATACAAGGGCCATCGTCTCAAATCAGGCCTTCTTGACCGGAGTCACACGTGATGAGATCATGCAGAGGTACAAAATTCGCTCAGCTCAATCACTTCTTGAACAAGCTCACGGCCGCGAGCTCACACTGACACAACACGGAGACTGGATGATTGATGCAGTCTGGAATCAGGCAATCAGTGACAGTCTGGCATCCGCGGCACAAAGTCCCACGCCTGAGACAGATGAGGAAACAGCCGTGTGGGCCTGTCCAATATGCGATGCACAATTCAACAACACTGCTGCACTTAAAGTACATGCTCGTCGAGCACACAAGCTGATTGACCCTAGTCATCGCATCTTTGACAAGGCGCAACATTCCATCAACGGACTTCCACAATGTGCTGGTTGCCACAAGAAATTTAGTAGATGGCAAACCCTCGAGCAGCATGTGAACAACAACTCATGTCCAGCCAGAGTCGCGGAAGTATACAACCCAGATTCACAACCACCAGCAGATCCCACAGGCAAGCATGAGGAGATTGCTGACAAAATCAGCGCGTTACCTACAGATGAACGTTCAGCTCCTTCATCTTCTCAGCCCTTGTCTTCTGCGCTGCAACATGTCCAGCTTGATCTACACATGCCTCTGATTGATCAGGCTCTTGTACGGAACACTGCCAGACAGGGACTGAACAAGTTCATGCATTATCCTGCCATCACACAACATCTTTCACAACATTGTGCTGTTTGCGGACAGTGGATTGCATCTCAGAAAGTCGTGAAGCTACACTATCGCAACTCCCACAAAGAGCTGTTTCTACGACTGCAAGGCAGAGCACAACAACTGATTACATACAAAGCCACACCCAGCATAGCTTGCCACTTCTGTCAACGGAGGACAAAGGACTGGAAAGCTCATTTACACAAATGTACGGTTCTTTGGCAGTGTGCTCTCCTTTGTGCTACTTATGAGGATGCACATGCCCGGGATGGACGAGGACATGGCGGACTTCTTCGGGAATTACCAACCGATGGAGGAGCTATCAGGACACCTGAGACAGGGACCACCTTCACGCAGCCCGTTCCCCATGCCGAACAAAAGAAGGAGGGACCCCTTCGGTGCTCCGCTGGAGCCTCATCGAGCGACACACTCGCCTTTCCAGGCCGCCTATCATCAGGGACACCAGCCTCCAAGGCCTCCTCACAGAGACCCCTTGCTGTTTACTTTGGCCAAGACGGTGCTGAAACAACAGGAAGAGTTGCAGGTGCTACGGCAAGACACGGCCTTTGTGCTTTACCTCAGGCCCGGCGAGAACTCAGTGCTGAGCCATCTTTACCAAACGGCGGTTCGGTTCAAAACAAAACTCGAATCGGATCCACAGTGGAAACTTGGGCAATTCCCGTTGCGGATGGTCTTGACGGTTGCACTGTTCACGGAACTGGTCACGAGACTCAACCAGGTCTTGGCATCTCAGGATCGCTTGAAGCAGGTGACGGACCAAGGATGGAGAAACGAGGCGGGATGGAGGTTCCAACGTTGGAACCCGACATTACGTCACTTGGAAATGGACACGGCCAAGGATCCGATCCCAGACGATCAACTCTTGGATCATCTGGCTACAGCCTTGCAATGTCTGAAACATCCCATCGTGAACAGGTTCCGGTGCAAACGAAAGATGACAGAAACGATGACGACCCAGGCCACGTTTGTCATGGATATCTCAATGAGAAGCCAATGCTCCACCACCCTATGGGACACCATGAGAATTCTGCAGAACAACGCAGTGTTCCAACTGGTTGGCATGACGTACAAAACCGAGGGACTGGGTCGAAGCCCGGTCGAACAGCAGATTCGAGACCTCTTGTACGGGCAGCGGCGACAGTAGAACATGATGATCGATACACGCAATGGCGAGCTACTCAGCTTGTACTTCGCAATCCTGGCAATCATTGCTATATGAATGTCACGGTTCAGGTCATTGCTTGGCTTCTGGGGAGGTTGCAAATTGCAACATTATCTTCGACTGATGCGGTTGAAGGCTTCTTCCTCAGAATTCTACGCTCAGCTCAGTCACCATTGATGCTCATGGATCACCCAAGGTGGCAAGCTGTGATTCAAGATTGGGGAGAGGTGCATCGACAACATGATGTGTGCGAATTCTTCTCCTACCTGTTGAACAAATCTGATTGTCAAATCTTTGCAGGCACATGGCAGGCTCGAACACCTGTTATGGCGGGGAGTTTTCATCTTCTGGATTCCGGGCTATGCACTCAGCCGATTGTTCTACATCTACCACAATCGTACAGCGCAAACGCTATACCCAGGGTTCAACATCTAGTTGATGAATGGCATCGGGGCATTGATCGCCTACATGGCCTACGCACCATGCCCCTCGCCCTCCATCTGCAGCTGCATCGTTTCGGCAGACGATCGGGTCGAGTAGTCAAAAATCATGTGCAGGTACAGCTTGACGAAACCATACGAGTTCCGGTACTTCATGGGCCTGCTTTTGAGGTGCGATACGAGATTTACAGCTTGTGTGCCTTCATTGAACATCATGGCAATACACCTGAAGCGGGTCACTATAATGCCACATTGGTGCAGGATGGATTCTGGAGTTGTGACGACAACCGAGCAGCGAGTCGAAGAGCTGCTGTGATGAGTTCACAACGCAAATCCTGCTATGCTCTGTTCTACTGTAGCCAACAAGCTTTACCTACGGTGCTTTAGCAGCTGGACGACATGTATGCTCTTTTGTTCTTCGGAACGGTATATGTCGTTTTCGTTGATTGGAGATGACCATATGGTCATGAACACAAGTTCCGGGCGACCGATGGTAGCCTGCTCACAGCCGACGCTGGGCGGATGGATCTCTTTCGCTGCGTGCAAAGCTCAAAAGCTACTATGACGACGATGGCGACTAATACTGCTGCTAGCCACTAATAAAAGAACAGCAACAGCAATAACAACAACAATCGTAATTATCATTAAACTGATAACGATAATGACAATCATGCTGTCTTGACTGCTATGAAGACGAAACTTATGTTGTTCATTTTAGTTTGCCAAAATGCTGCCGGGCTCAAATTTCCCCTAAATTTGTAAAGCCCGAAGTGCGAAAACATCGGCAGGGATCGAATTTTCCCCAAAATTCCCAAAATCCTGGCATCTATCTGCGGGCTTGCACGAGCCTTGGGGAAATTTGATCCCTGCCGATGTTTTCGCATCTGAGGTTGCCAAAATGCTGCCAGGCTCGAATTTCCCCAAAAGTTGTAAAGCCCGAAGTGCGAAAACATTGGCAGGGATCGAATTTCCCCAAAATTCCTAAAATCCTGGCATCTATGCGGGCTGCGGGACCATATAGTTGATCAGATTTTGGGAAATTTGGGGAAATTTGATCCCTGCCGATGTTTTCGCATTTCAGGCTTCAGGAATTTTGGGGAAATTGGATCCATGCCGATGTTTTCGCATCTGAGGTTGCCAAAATGCTGCCACGCTCAAATTTCCCCAAAATTTGTAAAGCCCGAAGTCCGAAAACATTGGCAGGGATCGAATTTCCCCAAAATTCCCAAATTCCTGGCATCTATGCGGGCTGCGGGACCATAGTTGATCAGATTATGGGAATTTTTGTGAAATTTGATCCCTGCCGATGTTTTCGCATTTCAGGCTTCAGGAATTTTGGGAAAATTTGATCCATGCCGATGTTTTCGCATCTGAAGTTGCCAAAATGCTGCCAGGCTCAAACTCCCCAAAATTTGCAAAGCGCGAAATGCGAAAACATTGGCAGGGATCGAATTTCCCCAAAATTCCTAAAATCCTGGCATCTATGTGGGCTGCGGGACCATATAGTTGATCAGATTTTGGGAATTTTGGTGAAATTTGATCCCTGCCGATGTTTTCGCATTTCAGGCTTCAGGAATTTTGGGAAAATTTGATCCATGCCGATGTTTTCGCATCTGAGGTTGCCAAAATGCTGCCAAGCTCAAATTTCCCCAAAACTTGTAAAGCCCGCAGTGCGAAAACATTGACAGGGATCGAATTTCCCCAAAATTCCTAAAATCTTGGCATCTGTGCGGGCTGCGGGACCATGGTTGATCAGATTTTGGGAATTTTGGGGAAATTTGATCCCTGCCGATGTTTTCGCATTTCAGGCTTCAGGAATTTTGGGGCAATTTGATCCCTGCCGATGTTTTCGCCAACTGTGCGTATCCCTACCGCTTTGTTTTCTCCTTTCAAAACAAGCGGGTATGGATCATGGGGGGGGCGTGAGCATATATATATATATATGTATATGTATATATATATATATATATCTGTATATATATATATATATATATACATATATATATATACATATATATATATATATATTCATACATATGCACATATAGTTACCTTTGCCTCCTCAAAAGATGGAAGAAAGCAATATGCTCAAAAAGAAAGAGCGGAGCTCCCCCCAGTTTTCAACGCGAGACGTCTGGTCGCTCCAAAACAAGAAGAGAGTCCCCAGGCTATTCATGGCAACAGAAAAGAGCATCCTTCTATCAGCGAGCTTTTTGACCTCTTGGCAAGCCGCCGGGGGTGGGGTGTGCAAGACTTCATGCGCGGATGGCGTCCCCCTCCTCCCGACCATTCGATTCAATTTGGCCTGCCTCTACAGCTATAACCATCCCCATTCTAGCCAGTTCTAACCGTCCCCACTTTGGCCAGTTGCTAACTGCTACCTGAAGAGTGGTGGTTGGGATGTTGAAACTGCTTTCCAACGTATATGAGAACTTTCTGGGGAGCTCGGTGTGGCCAAGGTGCTGTTGACGGATTGGGAAACAGTTGGGTGCTTGGACGGAGGAGACAAAGAATCTGACAGCATTCATCGTGATAGCTAAATTTCATCCTCCATCAAGCCATTTCTAGTAATGAAATGGAAAATGCTGTTGAGAATCTATCACCTTTTTGAAAGCGATGTTGGCGAGATTGCGGAATAGTCACAAAACGGCATGGCGGAACGAGACAGGAGGGCCGAACGGCACGTTCCATCAGTTCATCCCAACAATAAAATTGACAGGTACGCTGTGGATCCATCACCATTTTGAAAGCGATCTGGGTTAGGGTTGAGATGGCGGAACATGCACAAAGGGGCATAGCGAAATGCAAAGGAGGAGGCCGCTAGAGAGTGGGATGAGGTAGGGTGGCATGGTTATCAGGTACAAGAAAGACTTAAACACGCAGTGCCCCATGTGAAGCCTCAGTTCCATCCACCCATCTGCATCCACTCATGCCCTGTCTCCCGTTCATCCTCAACAACCCGAGGCCCCGGAGGAGAGGGAGGGAGGGGAGACGAGGAGAGGCAAGGCAGGGAGGACATGAGTTTACAACAAACGTTGCGTTTTTGATGATGTTGGAGGAGAACACAAGGTTTAAGGAAAACCTTGCATTTTTGTAGCTGGGGAACGACATGTGTTTACAAAAGACCTGGAATTTTGTGTTGTTGGAGGGACCCAGCTCCTAACCATTCTTAACCCCCAATCTGTAGCCTGGGAGCCCAGTATAAATTAATGTGGCAGGAACCTGTGCGTATAATGCGACGTGTCCCTTGTGCTTCTTTTCCCCCTTTTGTACCTTATTGAATACCCTAACGCCCATAGATTTTCTAGAATACCATGTATACGTACATAACCTCTGCAATGCCCTAAGGAATACCTTACACAATACCCTGCAGAATACCCTATTGAGTGCCTTATAGAATACCTCATGAACTACCCCCAAAGAACTATATCTTTGCCTGATAGACTGCCATCTGGAATACGCTGTAGAATACCTGTAAAATGCTCCTATTTGAAACCCTTTGTATATCTTCTATATGCATATACAAGAAATGGTGCTATCGAGCCGCCCTTCGCTGAACTCATGGTCAGAAAACGCAGCGGTTCGATAGCACCTATTTATTGTCTGAAAGATAGCACCAAACATTCTGACAGGAACCGCTTCCGAAAATTTGGTGTTATCGAACCGCTGTTTTTTCCAAACATGAACCCAACTAATTTGACGGCGGCTCGATGATAGCACCAAATTTTCTGAAAGAAGTCGCTTCCGAAAATTGGTACTATCGAACCGCTGTGCTTTCTAAACATGAACCCAACTAAATTAACGGCAGTTCGATAGCATCATTTTTTCGTGTCTTCCAAACACGAACCCAAATAATTTAGCAGCGGTTCGATAGCACCAAATTTTCTGAAAGGAACCGTTTCCGAAAATTTGGTGCTATCGAACCACTGCGTCTGAAAATGCGCGGTTCGATAGCATCAGACAAATGAAAGGAACCGCTTCCGAAAATTTGGTGCTATCGAACCGCTGTGTTTCCACCCTGAACCCCCCCAGCAGCACTTTGGCAGGGTCGCAGCCCGATCGCACCAGATTTTTGACACGCAGAGTTGCTAAACCCCTGCTCGGGTTTCGTGTGGTATTTACAGCACTTTTTCCAAAATAAGGGGTGTCCCCCTAAGGTGTTTCAACATCTCAGATGCCAAGATCAAAAATCGCAAGGGTGTTCCCACAAAGTTGTTCGATAGCACCAAATGTTCGGAAGCGGTTCCTTTCAGAAAATTGGTGCTATCGAGCCGCGCCTTGGAAAACACAGCGGTTCGATAGCACCAAATGTTCGGAAGCGGTTCCTTTCAGAAAAATTGGTGCTATCGAGCCGCGCCTTGGAAAACACAGCGGTTCGATAGCACCAAATGTTCGGAAGCGGTTCCTTTCAGAAAAATTGGTGCTATCGAGCCGCGCCTTGGAAAACATATTCAAATTAGTTAAATTATTTAATTCCCGGGCTCCCGGACCCCCCCAGGGACCCCCCCAGGATTTAAATTATTTAAATTATTTAAACTATTT